TGAGTAAGGAGTTGTTGGTAAAGAGTTGTTAGTAAGCAAGGAGTTGTTAGTGAGTAAGGAGTTGTTAGTAAAGAGTTGTTAGTAAGTAAGGAGTTGTTAGTAAGGAGTTGTTAGTAAGTAAGGAGTTGTTAGTGAGTATGGAGTTGTTAGTAAGGAGTTGTTAGTAAGGAGTTGTTAGTGAGTAAGGAGTTGTTAGTGAGTAAGGAGTTGTTAGTAAGGCGTTGTTAGTGAGTAAAGAGTTGTTAGTGAGTAAGGAGTTGTTAGTAAGTAAGGAGTTGTTAGTGAGTAAGGAGTTGTTAGTAAGTAAGGAGTTGTTAGTGAGTAAGGAGTTGTTAGTGAGTAAGGAGTTGTTAGTAAGGCGTTGTTAGTGAGTAAGGAGTTGTTAGTAAGGAGTTGTTAGTGAGTAAGGAGTTGTTAGTAAGTAAGGAGTTGTTAGTGAGTAAGGAGTTGTTAGTGAGTAAGGAGTTGTTAGTGAGGCGTTGTTAGTGAGTAAGGAGTTGTTAGTAAGGAGTTGTTAGTGAGTAAGGAGTTGTTAGTAAGTAAGGCGTTGTTAGTAAGGAGTTGTTAGTGAGTAAAGAGTTGTTAGTGAGTAAGGTGTTGTTAGTAAGGCGTTGTTAGTAAGGAGTTGTTAGCGAGTAAAGAGTTGTTAGTAAGTAAGGTGTTGTTAGTGAGTAAGGCGTTGTTAGTAAGTAAGGAGTTGTTAGTTAGTAAGGAGTTGTTAGTGAGTAAGGACTTGTCCCTTGCTTTTTATTCGACGCGTGTGCGGCGATGGCGCAGACATCGATCGAGGGTCGAATTCGAACCGCGTTGTGTGATCGGCGTGGAGCGCACAATTCTGAGTCACTTAGAACTGCTTTGCCGTTACTTATTGACAATTAGGGACTCGGACTATTGTCCTATCATCTCATAGAGTCCCTGGCACGTAATAATATGCTACACAGTGGCAGTGGGGGTCGCAAAATGCCGATTTATTACTAATAAACCCCAATCATCCGATCGAAAATAGGGATTTCGATCGGATCATTGGGGGGGCACGTGCCACCCCACCCCCTCCCCACTGGCTCCGCCAGTGCTCTGGGATGTGTAAACAAACACACAAAACACCCGTTGAACACGTTGTAGGCTTTCGCGACCAATATGATCCATAATAGAGGGGTTTTTTTGGGTGTTTACAAGTTTTTGGTGTTTACGAGTTTGTAAATGTTGTGAGTTTACTCTCCTACACACCGGTGTGCTGTACCAGTAACGAATTGGCCACGTTCTGTTTACGTGACAACGCTTACTGATTGGCTGTCTGTTGGTGGCGGGTTTAAAGACACATTTATATAATTACAAAAAAAAAACCTCTACTACGGAAACCAAAAAAAACCTGTTCATATTTATGCAGAAAGATAACACTTGGGAAGGAGGCGAATTGTCAGTTTTGTTAAAAATGTGCCAACGTTGGCCTAATGTTGGCTCGTGGTTTGAACCGTTGGCCGAACGTTCCCCGTTTACTGCGACTCTCATGATTATGTACTTATACATGGGCTCTGGTCGAGAGGGATGGTGGAGGCTTGGGGAGGACTTCATCCAGCAGCGGATACATTCATGGCTCAGGATTAAGGTGGGGGAGCACATACGTAGAGGAATTGGATCACAGCACAACAATGAATTGTTACATTGCATTACATTCAACTATTTTTTTTTATTTTACCAGGCAAGGCCTACTGAGCTACATAGCTCTTTTTCAGAAGCGACCTGGCTTTCACAAATGATAGGTCAACAAATTGGCTTATCACGTGGAAATTCATAGCAGCCAAATACTCGAAATGCAAGTTTCTAAATGTGGAGGAAAACCCTCAGGACCACTGGTATACAGAGGTGGGGCCCTTCCGCTTTAACGGGGAAGCAACGTTGTGCCTCCCCAAGCTTTTAAAGCTGCCAGAATGTCAAAGCTAGTATTTCAGAGCTGCGAGGTTCACATTTTAATCGCTCTCCTGCCCTCTGAAGTTATCGGCTTGCTTCTAATTTAAAGTTAACGCGGGGCCATACATTACGTGTGCCGGTCTAAGCCCCTATAGACTCCCCTAGAGCTAGGCGCGTGCCTTCCGGCCACGTGATGTATATTGTTAATATGAGTGGAGCTGTATACGACCGCGTGATTTAGGAGATGCCTCCACGTGCGGTGTGTGGCTGTGTGTTTGGGGAGAGATGGCCAAGGTTTGGTGGATTTGGCACAGCTGGGCTAGGGATTTATAGTCGGGGCACGTCTCTGCCAAATCAATATATATAGCTTTTTAAGGCTTGGGTCATCCCTAGGTCGTCTTGGCTCAAAATGGAGACCTTGTGTGTTGTTATCGTTGACGTCGGAAAGACAGAGAGCCAGGCTGGCATGGTGATGGGCGCACTTCAATATTGCTTCATGTACTCCAGCAGCCTGAATAGCACCTGAAGGCGGACGCTTGTGTTGCGACCGAAACGTCGTGTTTTCTTTTCTTATTTTTTCTACCTACGTGACTTTACCGAAAGAACCAGAGAGTATGGATTCCTGCAGTCACGAAAGCTTCAAATCAAGACTAAATAGCTCCTCTTAATAGCAACTACACTTGCTTCAACCATCTATGCAGACGATATTGTATTGTGTGTAGTAAAATAAAGTGGATTTATATATTTTTTATTTTGAGGATTAAAAATGTAATCTTTACAGCTGTCTCTTTTCTTCCAGGTTCCCTCTAAACACCCAATATATATAAAAAAGCAATGATGTATAAGAATAATGTATGACTTCACTTATCCCAGGCATTCTCCCATCCAATTACAGTACTACTCAAGCATTCCACCCAGTCACGTCATTACCGTGGGGGCAGGGGGCTGTCGTGACCCCCTCCCATGGTGGTCAATGCTACGAGTTGGGGTCCCTCTTGACAACCACCACGAGATATGTCTTCAACAATAGTGTAAAATAACAAAAGCGCCATTTAAATGGATTTGTATGAAAATTCTTTCATTTGCGTTCCACGTTTTACGTTGATGAAATTAGAGCAATAACGTTTTGTGAGCGTGTGAGACAAATCAAATACTGGAGCCCCACCTGACCAGGGGCAGAGCCACAGGGGAGGCTGGGGGGGGGGGGGGGTGCTCAGCCCCCCTGAAATTTTGGGAAAGTTGGTAATCGGGATAACCGGATATCCGGTTGCTGCAAAATGCTTCAGGCTGCCACCTCGTGCTGCCCTGCAGGCTGCCACCTTGTGTGCTGCCCTGCAGGCTGTCACCTTGTGTGCTGCCCTGCAGGCTACCACCTTGTGCTGCCCTGCAGGCTGCCACCTTGTGCTGCCCTGCAGGCTGCCACCTTGTGTGCTGCCCTGCAGGCTGTCACCTTGTGCTGCCACCTCGTGTGCTGCCCTGCAGGCTGCCACCTTGTGCTGCCTTGTAGGCTGCCACCTTGTGTGCTGCCCTGCAGGCTGCTTGAGCGGCAGCCTTTCGAACTTATTAGCCACATCAGCGGCTCCGACCTATTAATAAACTCCACGTTCAAATCCAATTAAATTTGTTTTTACATTTGTGGCGCCCATTGGAAAACATACACTGGGTATCTCAGAATATTGAAGTAAACCCCTCCAAAGTGAAAATCCTGGCTCGGCCCCTGCACCTAACCGATTGCAGCACCCCCTGAGCTGATAATGTAGTTATACCACCGATTCCACCGTAACATTATAGTTATAGGGTTTTTCCCATTTTTTCTGGCAACAAAACTGACACCTTTTGCAAGGAATCATGTTAACATTAACCACAATACTTGCAGTCAAATGCAAACAAAAAACAATACTCTGATAATTTATGCATTGTCCTTGAAACTGATTGGTCCACACCAGAGACAGCTTTTCTTAAAGCGTAGTCTCATACGGTGTACGACCAGATGACGCCATCAGGCGCCACAAATGAACCACAATACCTTGCTGATCTCGTCAAGGCGCATAAACCATCATCACGCACACTTTGGTCATCCTCGGGAGCGGCCTTTAGCTAGCCATCGAACAAAGACGGTGGTCACTGCATCGCGCGCTTTCAGATGCGCTACAGCGGCCGTCTGGAACGCTCTTCCTTCCGATATTAGTAAGTCACTGGAGCTATGAACTTTTCAATCATCCAGATTGAAAATTAATTTATTTGTAATTAGTTTCTTGTCCTTCCCCCGCACCTCCTATGAGCACGGTTTGGCGATGTATGGTGCAAAAGAAGTTCAACATGACCCCACTTCATGAACCCGCATAAACCAGCGTGACGAATGGTCAAAAACCCCTGTGATGGGGCAGCGTGTGAAAGCCTTCATCCAGCAGTGGACTGAGAATGTCTGGAAACCATCCCACACGCATGGTTTTTGTAGGAGTGAACAGAGGGAAGAAGGTTGGTGGAGATATTCTCCATATATATAAAAGGCAAAGTTGTGATTATGTGTCTGTTCAAAATGTTTAGCGTACTTCCCGACATGCAACAAACTTGAAATTTGCCATGTGGGTACTTTCCAGACTGTACACCATGCAACAATTATAAAAATACACTTTTGGTTATTTTTTTTTGGGGGGGGGAGCTCAATAAAGCATTTTTTTTGCACGGCAAGTAAGCTGTGACGTCAAATCTGTCATGTGACCCGCGCATGTGGAAGCGTAACGCATTGTAGTGTAGTGGTTAGCGCGCTGCACTACGAACCCGGCGACCCGAGTTCGATTCCCGCTCACGGCCACCACCGGTGGCGATTATTTTAACCGGTCCTGGGCCTCCCCTAGGTCGATTCGGCCTCAGCGTCAAACGCGTAACTGGTGTGGTGTGTGAACATCGCCACTGGGGAGACAAAGGCGGCCGGGCGTGGTGAATCCAAGTCCCGGCCGAAGCCGGATAGTTAAGCTAGTACATTTATATAGACGGGACACTGACATTCAGTTCGCACTTGCTGAAACACATGTAAATGCATCCATTCTCCTGGAAGAGAATAATTACATCGAACAAACTTGCCACGCAAGTGCATTAACGTGTTGATGTTTATTCGAAATGCAAGTGTTTAAAATCATACAGTCCAAGGTAAAGGCTGTGTCGCGCTCACTTAAGGTAAACATTTAAGCAATTACGAAAAAAAATTATCGCAAGCCAATTTTCAACAAGTTGGAATTGCAATATTGATCGATCGCGCAAGCACTAAACAGAATGCACGCTTCCCGCCACTCGCCGCTGTCAACATTTGCAGTGCGCCTTCCGTATAAAACAAAAGCACCCGCACATTCAGTTTGACAATTGTCATTCCATTTGCAAAATCGCCATCGCGAGATGAGGAAGGCAACCCTTCGTGTTCGGAGAGAATGATCCGTGGAAGCGGATCTCATAGAACTGCTTCCGAGATCTCTTCCAAGTGACTCTGTCCTACACAGGAGTGGCCGGCAGCACTTTTCCATCTAATCTGCGGGTTTCAAGTGACCTTAGTTTCATGAGAAGAATTAAAAACGTTCCTGTCGTCTTTGCATATTTGCCCAATTATCCAACATGTAACATAGGTAAGTTGTTTGCATTTAATTTACATGATTCGTAAACGAATTGCCTATGTACGATTTGACGCATGATTTAAAGAATAATCATTAGACATCCTTTGCCAGTACCAAAATATAATAACGGGGGTTTTTCCCCTTTTTTTCTGGCAACAAAACTGAAACCTTTTTTTTTTTACGAGGAATCATGCCGGCATAAACCACAATACTTGTGCGATTGTGTTGGACGGCTGGTAGATGGTGTTTAAAAAATCAGCAGCCCCACCACTTAAATTGGTAGGGGTTGGCGAGTACGCACGCAACGCATCATCGCAAAGTGGCCCACCAAATTTATAGCGGCCGCCAGAAGTTAGTTGAAAGACCCCGGTCTATAACACTACTTGAAATCAACTAATCGTTATCAGTCAAACGTCACCTCCCCGTGTGCTCAGCAGTCGGCGCAAGTCATTTGCTTGAATGAACGAATGATGCCATGCGTGGACCACATTGGGAACTGGCCATTGTGAACATTCCAAATTCAGCGGAGGCGTGTATGCATGTTGGACTTCTTTCGCGCCGCACGTAGCCAACCGTGCTCATTGGGGGTGTGGCACTGAAGGCGTCCATTCAGCTTCCCAATTTCTCAAGATCCTTTACCAGATCTGTACGTGGAGTTGCGAGAGTTGCCACGCAACGCCATATCCAAGGAGAAATGAACCGAAGGATCGATCGGCCGTTCCCAATAGCCGCGCACGCTCACCTGCCGGTGTGGGCGTTGCCCCTTCATAAACGAGTCGAAAAATCGATCCAAGCTGCTGCCTTCCGCCAAATCGGATGAGCCGATCTCAGCCGTTGTCGCAAGCACCGTCTCGAACGAGCGATCCAGACGGTGAACCAATGCCGAGGACTGCAGCTGGATTGTGGAAAAGCCGTGGAAATTCAGCGCAGGCGTGGAAAAGTAATCCGTTTCCGTTCCCGCATTCGCTGCTCGCCGCTTCAGAGGTACGCAGCTTGAGCCCAGCAGGCAACCCTGGTTAATACTGCAGCAGGTGCATTAAACCAAAAATATGCGTGCCCATCTGCTTCAACAGGGGACGCTATTTAAAAAAGAAAAGGGCAGGTTCACGCGTGCCGGCGTTACCAGTCCACTTTTGCCAAATCCGCAAACGGCTCTCAAAATCGCCCAATCAGGAAGCAACGTAGCAACATTGCCACCCCCCACCACCCCCCCCCCCCCCCCCCCCCACTGAGAAACTGTTGCAGGCCACGCCAGTGCAACACAGCGCCCTCGTGACAGCCCTGGCGGCAACGAATGCAAAACATGCCGACGACGGCACGATCTGGCGTTCGGGGAAAAGGGCCAGCCCAGCCCGTGGAAAAACCAGCGGAACCGTCGCGGTTCCCTCCTCCTCGCGCGCGCTCACACGCTGGCGTAGACGTTGTCGATGGAGCCGCCCCCCTCCGTCTCGAGCCGCTCGTAGAGCCAGCGCCGGTCCCTGCGGCAGGTGGGGCCGCAGCGAGTGGAGCCGCAGGCCGAGCAGGGGTAGAAGCAGCCGGGGCAGCCGTCCTGCAGGCAGTCGCAGGCGTCTACGCCGCCCCGCACCAAACGGCCCTGCGAGTCGTACACGCGGCTGGGGGGGCGGGCGGCGACGGCAGAGGGTCAGGGGGTGGTGAGCGTGAACGGCAGCGCCTGCCGGCTTGTAAGCAGGGGAGAGGAAGTCACTGGGAGCTGTGCACTTTTAAATCTGGGCCAGGAGTCCACAACCAAAAAATAACGCTAGTAGCCATTTTTTTTCTTTCCGAATTCTGTAATTTTAAAAAAAAACAAACAAATATTTCATGAGCCGCAACGAAATGTCAATAAGCGACGGTGGTCCTGAACAAGGAACGGTCACGAAGCTGTCCCTTGAAGAGCCGCATGCGGCTCTGGAGCTGCAGGTTGCTGACCCCTGGTCCAGGTTGAAAATTCGCGGGGAAAACCCATTAGGCTTCAACAAAGTTAGTTCGCTTATTTGAAAATTGAACCATGTTCAATAAAAAGACAACAAATAATTTTCCTTGACTTTTTACGTACCATGTGTGTGTGTGTAAGCGATAACGATGAAACCTCCGCAAACCTCCCGATTTCCTTCCCCACGCACCTCCGGTTAAGCGCGGTTGGCTACGTACGGTGCGAAAGAAGTTCAACGTACATACATACGAGAGTGGGTCTCGGTGGGTCTCTGCGTTTCTTTCAAAATCTGGAGCTCTGCGGGTTTCTAAGGGTCTCTCTTCCGATACTAGGAAGCCACTGGAGCTATGCTCTTTTAAATCGTCTAGAAAACTAATTTCTTTACAAACTGCTTTTTTGTGTTTAGTTTGTTGTCCTTCCCCGCACCTCCGATTAGGCACAGTTGGCTATGTACGGTGCGAAAGAAGTTCATCGTACATACATATGCCCTGAATATCCTCCAACATTCTTTAACGTTTTGGTGGTGAGGGGAGAAGTGGGGGTTTTCAGAATTATATTCAAATTATGCTTATGTCTCCAGACAGAGACATTTCCATTTGGAAACCAGATTATGTTAAGTCATTAGCGTTAAACAGACTTTGGTCAGTGTCAAATCGACAAGATCGTGTGTTTAGTTTGTTGCTCTTAGACCGGCACCTCCGGTTAGGCACGATTGGCTACGTTCAATGAGAAAAAAAGTTCAACGTACATACATGCGTACAAAGCGTCATACTTGTGGCGTGCAAGAAGGGTCTGCCGCAACAACATCTTTTACGATACCATAGAACGCGTGACGGACGCACAACAACCATCGCGACATCGGAAATCGTCTGGTGGTGTGTCCGCATGATCACCATTTCTAAAGGAGCAACAGTGATTGACCTCAACAAAAAATAAAAATGGGGGGGCAATAAGAAAAAGTGGAAGATTATAATTTTAGTCGATTATACCAACTAAACCTCCCGGGATGAACCGTGCCCTTCATTTAAAGAGGTGAAGTCAAATTGACGTCGTGCTCAAATTTTGGCTTTCCCCCACAAAGTAATCCTCATTTCATTCACCTCGGAGCGATGACGGGGGGTGGGGGGGTAGGTTTAGTCAACACTGCCAACCGGGAAATGAACTTCGCTGCATTCCGATTGCGAGCTGCTCAACCGCTGAGAACTAGCTCCATTACAACCCAGCCTCTGATTTTCTGTTTTTCTCTACCCCCTGTGCACAGCCAACCGCCCCCGCCCGCCACCCCGTACCCACCTGTCCACTTGTTGAAGCTTGGTCTGCAGCTTGCGCCGTTCTCGTTTGCTCGTCTCTGGGTTGAAGTCACCGGCTGCCTGCGAATGCGATAAGGGAGATAGCCTCTGCATCAACAAGGAAAAAATAATCAAGCTCGCGCGCATGACCCGGCTTTGTACCGAAATGTGGCGACAACCCCGACGCTCACACCGGCGTGCAGGAGGCAGTAGGCCCGTAGGCCGCGACGGGACGTGGCTCGGATAGCGGAAGTACCGGGGAGGAGTTGGCTTGGCTAGCAAGACGGGCATGACAAGGTGGGCCATTTTACCAGTGGTTTTTGTCTCCAAGCACCTGGGAAACCATTGGGTCAATTTGGCCGGTTTTACATAGGGGCAAGTCCCGAATAGCAACACAACTTCATTGGATCGTTTTTATGATTGTCAGTGGCGCCATCAACACAGGCGGACAGAGATATGACACGAGCGCCTTTTAACCCGAGTTGGGAATCGCCAAAGACTTCAGACGTATCTCAAGAGGCATCCAGAGGATTGCCTTTGGCTCTTTTGAGTCTTATTTTAAAAAAAACCTGTACACCGTAAGGGACTGCATTGCCATGTACAAAAAAATTGCATGGCAATTTCTGCGCATTCCTCCATGTACATTTGCTGTGAAATTATGTGGTTATTTGAATTGTGGATATTGCGGTTACATGCTATGTGCAGAATTATCATCATTTATGCTTGTTCATGTGTGATTATTTTGGTTAATATTACTTGTGGTTGATCTTTTTGTCATATATTTGTCGCGGGATAATTATGTTATATGCTCATTATGATTATTCGGTTATTGTGGTTGCAATGTTAATACTGTGCTGTGCATATCATGCTGTTATTGTCGCTATAATATTGTTGTAAAGTTATTACTTATTTGGGATTTTTTATTGTGGTGATTGTAGCAATTGTAGTTATTTTAGTTGTAATGTTGCACCGTTTTGTGGCTATCATGCAATGCAGTTATCGTGGTTATCACGTGGTTTTACTATTTACAGTGAGGGAAAAAAAGTATTTGGTCCCCTGTTGATTTTGTACGTTTGCCCACTGACAAAGAAATGGTCAGTCTATAATTCTAATGGTAGGTTTATTTGAACAGTGAGAGACAGAATAACAAGAACATCCAGAAAAACGCATGTCAAAAATGTTATAAATTAATTTGCACGCGATTTTGGACGATTTTTGCCCCCCCCCCAGTCACAAAAAGTCCGAGGGTAGTTGGGGTGGTTGGGATGGGCTTAGTTTGTTGTATTTGTGTACTTTGTTAAAACGTAAACAACATCCTTCGGCAGTTTAAAAAAATAACTTTTACCGTTAAGATTACTTAAACTAAACAAACATTACGTTTTAGATAATTCAATGGGGGGGGGGTCACAAGACTTACTGAACTATTTTATTTTTACAAGAGAGGGTATATACCACACACGACCCTGTGCTATATAATATAACGAGCAGTACTGCCCGGCTTCGCCCGGGACTGGGATCCACCACGCCCGGCCGCCTTTGTCTCCCCAGTGGCGATGTTCACACACCACACCAGTGACTCGTTTGAGGCTGAGTCGACCTAGGGGAGGCCCAGGACCGGTTAAAATAATCGTCACCGGTGGTGGCCGTGAGCGGGAATCGAACTCGGGTCGTCGGGTTTGTAGCACGTAGTGCTAACCACTACACTACAATGCGTTACGCTTCCACACACACACACAGACACACAAACAGACACAGACAACGCTAACCACTAGACTTCAATGCGTTACGCTTCCACGTGCGCGGGTCACGTGACAGATGTGACGTCACAGCTCACTTGCCGTGCAAAATAAATATGCAGTATTGAGCTCCCCCCCCCCCCCATTTTTTTAAATTTTTTTTAATTTTTGCATGGTGTACAGTCTGCAAAGTACCCATATGGCAAATTTCAAGTTTGTTGCATGTCGGGAAGTACGCTAAACATTTTCAACAGACACACAAGCACAACTTTGCCTTTTATATATATGGAGATTATACTGTACCAGGCGAGGTAGTTTATATCTTGCACCAGCCCGTAACCATTCAATGTTACTCCTACACTTATACTGCTGCATTGCGCTTAATGTGATTGCTAATGTATCGTTGCTTCAAAATCGTGTGTTGTTGTGTGTGTGGGTGTGAGGAGGGCACTTCACGTGCACCTAGCCTGGCACAAGCGTCGTGACGTCACCGCCACTTCGTGGCGCATGGCGCTTGTTGTTGTTGTTCGATTCCTGCTCACGGACAACACCCAGTGACGATTACCTGAACCGGTCCCGGGCATCCTCTAGGTCGACTCAGCCTCAAATGAGTACCTGGTGTAGCGGTGTGTAAACATCGCCACTGGGGAGACAAAGGCGGCCGGGCGTGGTGCTGGACACCCACCCCCTTGTGTGCCGTGCCGGTCTTCGTAGGTGCTCGCTAACAGCACTTGCCCCTACAGTCTGTTACAGGCTATATAGGGGATCTTTGTCTTTGTTGTGAGGACAACCCAGGCCCTTACATGTCGTCTTTTCCACCCTCCTCACCCTCACTCACCTCCTCACGCTCACTCACCCTCACTCACCTCCTCACCCTCACTCACTTCCTCACCCTCACTCACCTCCTCACCCTCACTCACCTCCTCACCCTAACTCACCTCCTCATCCTCACTCACCTCCTCATTCACCTCATCCTCACTCACCTCACCCAACTCCTCACCCTCACTCACCTCCTCACCCTCACTCACCTCCTCACCCTCACCTCTTCATCCTCACTCACCTCCTCACCCTCACTCACCTCCTCACCCTCACCTCATCCTCACTCACCTCCTCATCCTCGCTCAACCTCCTCATCCTCACTCACCTCCTCACTCACTTCCTCACCCTCACTCACCTCCTCACCCTCACTCACCTCCTCATCCTCACTGACCTCCTCATCCTCATCCTCACTCACCTCATCCTCACTCACCTCCTGATCCTCACCTCCTCACTCACCTCCTCATCCTCCTCTTCATCCTCACTCACCTCCTCACCCTTACTCACCTCCTCACCCTCAATCACCTCCTCATCCTCGCTCACCTCCTCATCCTCGCTCACCTCCTCATCCTCGCTCACCTCCTCATCCTCGCTCACCTCCTCACCCTCGCTCACCTCCTCACCCTCACTCACCTCCTCACCCTCACTCACCTCCTCACCCTCACTCACCTCTTCACCCTCACTCACCTCCTCACCCTCACTCACCTCCTCATCCTCACTCACCTCCTCACCCTCACTCACCTCCTCATCCTCCCTCACTCACCTCCTCATCCTCGCTCACCTCACCCTCGCTCACCTCATCCTCACTCACCTCCTCATCCTCACTCACCTCCTCACTCACCTCCTCACCCTCACTCACCTCCTCACTCACCTCCTCACCCTCACTCACCTCCTCACCCTCACTCACCCTCACTCACCTCCTCATCCTCACTCACCTCATCCTCACTCACCTCCTCACCCTCACTCACCTCGCCCTCACTCACCTCCTCACTCTCACTCACCTCCTCACCCTCACTCACCTCCTCACCCTCACTCACCTCCTCGCCCTCACTCACCTCCTCACCCTCGCTCACCTCCTCACCCTCACTCACCTCATCGTGTTGCTGTGCTCCCGGAGTATCCTTCCCACGTTTCGCTCGCCTCATGGCCCCCCAAGTCGCTCCCCTCTCTCAGCCCCTTACCGGGCGGTGCATTGTCTCACGAACGGTGCGGTGGGGTGGAAATCGAAGGTCGTCGTCTGTCTCTCTGTCTGTCTCTCTCTCTGTCTCTCGACAGACATACAGAGAGAGAGGACAGCAGGGCTGGTGTCTGGGTCAAAGCGAGTTGTTGTTGTTGCTGTGTTCAGCGGAACGGCAATGGAGGAGAAGGGCAGTGGTTGATGATGGTGTGGTGGTGGTGAGGGGGGGTGGGGCGATGACGATGGCGTTACCAGAGCAGAGGTTTTTTTTGGTTGGTGGGCGCTCGTCTTTTTGTTTAATGTGCCACGGTGCACGTAGCCTGGTACAAGGCGCCGTGGTGGTGAATGGCGGCTGCTGTTGTTGTTTAACCTACAGAGTCGATGTAGCCGAGAGGACTCTGGAGTTGTATTGAGATTTCTGTTGGTACCGAATTCTGAATAAATGGTACTTGTTGTTTTGGTTGCTGACCACCCTGCCCATGGGAGTCCAATTTACCGTGGGAGTCCAGTTCACCATGGGCGTCCAGTTCACCATGCCAGTCCAGTTTACCATGCCAGTCCAGTTCACCATGGGCGTCCAGTTCACCATGCCAGTCCAGTTTACCATGCCAGTCCAGTTTACCATGGGCGTCCAGTTTACCATGCCAGTCCAGTTCACCATGCCAGTCCAGTTCACCATGCCAGTCCAGTTTACCATGCCAGTCCAGTTTACCATGCCAGTCCAGTTTACCATGCCAGTCCAGTTCACCATGCCAGTCCAGTTCACCATGCCAGTCCAGTTCACCATGGAAGTTCAGTTCACCATGGGCGTCCAGTTCACCATGCCAGTCCAGTTTACCATGCCAGTCCAGTTTACCATGCCAGTCCAGTTTACCATGCCAGTCCAGTTTACCATGCCAGTCCAGTTCACCATGCCAGTCCAGTTCACCGTGCCAGTCCAGTTTACCATGCCAGTCCAGTTCACCATGGCAGTCCAGTTCACCATGCCAGTCCAGTTTACCATGCCAGTCCAATTCACCATGGCAGTCCAGTTTACCATGCTAGTCCAGTTCACCATGGAAGTTCAGTTCACCATGGAAGTCCAGTTCACCATGGCAGTCCAGTTTACCATGCCAGTCCAGTTTACCATGGGCGTCCAGTTCACCATGCCAGTCCAGTTTACCATGCCAGTCCAGTTTACCATGGGCGTCCAGTTTACCATGCCAGTCCAGTTTACCATGCCAGTCCAGTTCACCATGCCAGTCCAGTTCACCATGCCAGTCCAGTTTACCATGGAAGTCCAGTTCACCATGGACGTCCAGTTCACCATGCCAGTCCAGTTCACCATGCCAGTCCAGTTCACCATGCCAGTCCAGTTCACCATGGAAGTTCAGTTCACCATGGGCGTCCAGTTCACCATGCCAGTCCAGTTTACCATGCCAGTCCAGTTTACCATGCCAGTCCAGTTTACCATGCCAGTCCAGTTCACCATGCCAGTCCAGTTCACCGTGCCAGTCCAGTTTACCATGCCAGTCCAGTTCACCATGGCAGTCCAGTTCACCATGCCAGTCCAGTTTACCATGCCAGTCCAATTCACCATGGCAGTCCAGTTTACCATGCTAGTCCAGTTCACCATGGAAGTTCAGTTCACCATGGAAGTCCAGTTCACCATGGCAGTCCAGTTTACCATGCCAGTCCAGTTTACCATGGGCGTCCAGTTCACCATGCCAGTCCAGTTCACCATGCCAGTCCAGTTTACCATGGAAGTCCAGTTCACCATGGACGTCCAGTTCACCATGCCAGTCCAGTTCACCATGCCAGTCCAGTTCACCATGGAAGTTCAGTTCACCATGGGCGTCCAGTTCACCATGCCAGTCCAGTTTACCATGCCAGTCCAGTTTACCATGCCAGTCCAGTTCACCATGCCAGTCCAGTTCACCGTGCCAGTCCAGTTTACCATGCCAGTCCAGTTCACCATGGCAGTCCAGTTCACCATGCCAGTCCAGTTTACCATGCCAGTCCAATTCACCATGGCAGTCCAGTTTACCATGCTAGTCCAGTTCACCATGGAAGTTCAGTTCACCATGGAAGTCCAGTTTACCATGCCAGTCCAGTTTACCATGGGCGTCCAGTTCACCATGCCAGTCCAGTTTACCATGCCAGTCCAGTTTACCATGGGCGTCCAGTTTACCATGCAAGTCCAGTTTACCATGCCAGTCCAGTTCACCATGCCAGTCCAGTTCACCATGCCAGTCCAGTTTACCATGCCAGTCCAGTTTACCATGCCAGTCCAGTTTACCATGGAAGTCCAGTTCACCATGGGCGTCCAGTTCACCATGCCAGTCCAGTTCACCATGCCAGTCCAGTTCACCATGCCAGTCCAGTTCACCATGCCAGTCCAGTTCACCATGGAAGTTCAGTTCACCATGGGCGTCCAGTTCACCATGCCAGTCCAGTTTACCATGCCAGTACAGTTTACCATGCCAGTCCAGTTTACCATGCCAGTCCAGTTTACCATGCCAGTCCAGTTCACCATGCCAGTCCAGTTCACCGTGCCAGTCCAGTTTACCATGCCAGTCCAGTTCACCATGGCAGTCCAGTTCACCATGCCAGTCCAGTTTACCATGCAAGTCCAATTCACCATGGCAGTCCAGTTTACCATGCTAGTCCAGTTCACCATGGAAGTTCAGTTCACCATGGAAGTCCAGTTCACCATGGCAGTCCAGTTTACCATGCCAGTCCAGTTTACCATGGGCGTCCAGTTCACCATGCCAATCCAGTTTACCATGCCAGTCCAGTTTACCATGGGCGTCCAGTTTACCATGCCAGTCCAGTTTACCATGCCAGTCCAGTTCACCATGCCAGTCCAGTTCACCATGCCAGTCCAGTTTACCATGCCAGTCCAGTTTACCATGGAAGTCCAGTTCACCATGGGCGTCCAGTTCACCATGCCAGTCCAGTTCACCATGCCAGTCCAGTTCACCATGGAAGTTCAGTTCACCATGGGCGTCCAGTTCACCATGCCAGTCCAGTTTACCATGCCAGTACAGTTTACCATGCCAGTCCAGTTTACCATGCCAGTCCAGTTCACCATGCCAGTCCAGTTCACCGTGCCAGTCCAGTTTACCATGCCAGTCCAGTTCACTATGGCAGTCCAGTTCACCATGCCAGTCCAGTTTACCATGCCAGTCCAATTCACCATGGCAGTCCAGTTTACCATGCTAGTCCAGTTCACCATGGAAGTTCAGTTCACCATGGAAGTCCAGTTCACCATGGCAGTCCAGTTTACCATGCCAGTCCAGTTCACCATGGCAGTCCAGTTTACCGTGCCAGTCCAGTTCACCATGGAAGTTCAGTTCACCATGCCAGTCCAGTTCACCATGCCAGTCCAGTTCACCAGTCCAGTTTACCATAGGAGTCTAATTCTAGATTTGAAGCTTTCGTGACTGCAAGGATTCATACGCTTTGGTTTTATTCGGTAAAGTCACGTAGATAAAATAAAACAAAATAAAAGAAAACAATTAAATCTCGACGTTTCGGAGGCAACACAAGCTTCCGTCTTCAGGTGGAAAAAGTCAACGCAGAATATCTGTGTCAGGAGCACAGATCAGAGACGACCGGGATTATATACAGGTTAAGGGAGAGGGGAGGAGTCAGTAAGGGGGCGTGGCTGGGTGGAAGGGCTGGGTTAAGCAGCCTTTTGATAGGCTGCTGCGGGTAACAACCACTTCGCACTGCACGGGAGTGGGTTAAAAGACCCACCTGCGTGTGGGGTCGGGGAGATTTGGTGCGAAGGGGCATTACCCGAAACGTCGTCTGTTGTACACTACTTTAACACTATTTTTAAAGCCAGTGTTACTAATTAGCGTTTTAAAATATTGTTGTTTTATCCTTCTTTAATGTGGGTGGCTCGAAGCCAGCGATGTAAAATTCACATTCCAATGACGGAGCGTTTATTTCAGTTTATTTCACTTTCATTTATTTGGTATAGCCCTGTGAGCCATTCGGCTCTTGAATCGGGTGCAACCGTAACAAACAAAAAACATGAACAAGAAAACATCTTAAAGTTACTATGTGTGACTGTGCAAACAGAAAATCCAGGAAAAAAACAGCAAAATGTTCCTGAAAAAAAAAGCACCGTACACCAACGCTGCGTGAATGTCGACTATCACCGCAGGTCTCTCCCCCCCTCTCTCGTTACCTAAAACCCGCAGTTGTTGTTGTAAGGGGCTGCTACACTTTGCTATTGAAACTTGGTGACTGCAGAAACCGGTACGGAATTTGTTTTTTTTTTACACATTTGACCGCTTTAAACAAACGCTTCTCCTAAAACATGGACCCGCTGAAGACCCGATAGGCAATGGAGAGAAAACATGCGGATGGTATGAAAGACAGGGCGATTTCTGCTGTCCGAGAGAGGGGATTAGGCGTCTCTCACGATTTAACAAACACAAGCCGCTCCCCTGCCAGTCGCTCACTACTCTACACAGAAGCGCCAAGCTGTCTAAGCCACCGACATTTCGCAGCAAATTGGCAAAACTGAAATAAAACCCAAATTAATTTGCTCTTCCGTCTCGCCTGGTAACCCCCCACCCCCCGCCGCCAATTCTCAATTATCCTCATGCCGTCTTAACCCACCACCACCGTCATAATCGCCACCAAAATCACAGTTCCCACCATCTCCACTCACCATCACTACGATCAGTGTCCACCACCACCACCAATAATCAATCACAACCACGTCGCCCATCTCCACAGCGCGTGGCTCACACAGCCTCCCTGACGCACGAACCTCCCCACCCTCCCCACCAAGCCCCTCCCCACCCCACCCAGCCCTCCCACACTCCCCACCAAGCCCCTCCCCACTCCACCCAGCCCTCCCCACCCAGCCCTCCCCACACTTCCCTCCCCACCCTCCCCACCAAGCCCCTCCCCTCCTCACCCAGCCCCTCCCCACTCAGCCCTTCCCACACTCCCCTCCCCACCCTGCCCCTCCCCACCCTCCCCTCCCCACCAAGTCCTCCCCACCCTGCCCCTCCCCACCCTCCCCTCCCCACCAAGTCCTCCCCACCCAGCCCCTCCCCACCCTCCCCTCCCCACCCAGCCCTCTCCACCCAGCCCCTCCCCACCCTCCCCTCCCCACCCTCCCCACCCAGCCCCTCCCCACCCTCCCCTCCCCACCCTCCTCCGCGAGGACACCAGAAAAGCGGCCACCTCGCCCGCCACTGCCCTCGCCTCGGCGTCCTTCATATAAATGCACTGTCCAGTACTCTTTGGTTCTATTCGGTAAAGTCACATAGGTAAAAAAAAAATAAAACAACAAAAATCACGACGTTTCAGCCACAACACAAGCGGCCTTCATCAGGTGAAGGGACCAGCCTGTCTCGAAGACTGCGCTGGAGTGAAACAGAGCCAAGCTCAGACTACGACCTTTAAGCTGTGTGAGAGGGATTAAGGTGCCTTGACAAAGGAATTAGCGTAAAAATTAGCATTTGATTGGCGGACTTAGCATGATGAAAGGTGTAGCACAGTGATCGGCACCGGCAGTGCACCCGCCTGTGCTGCGAAAGTTTGGGGTACCACTACTTGAAAAAATATACTGTACCAATGAAAATTAGTTTAATGTTTAGTTCGATTTAGAACATCTTTCCAATGGTTGCTTAATTTGAAACCATCTTCTCGGTTGAAATTGTGTCTGTGTTTGTAGATCTGAATTGCCTCGTGAACAAATCTCTGATAAAAACCCGTGGGTTTGCAAAGAACCTTGGTATCGGAGAAAATTATATCGTGATCACCCACAGCGTTGTAACAGTGATCAGCCACGGCAGAAGAATTCGTTCTGCCGTGTTTAAAATCTGATTTGTGCTCGCGAATTCGGTCAGAGACATGTCGCTTTGTCTCCCCGATATAGCAATCACCGCAGGTACAACTCAATTTGTAAACCCCGGGGTACTGTAAGTCAGGAATGACATCCTTCACGGATGGGATCAGATCACGAATTTTATGTACTGTATTGAACCGGACCTGGATCTTGTGTTTGTTTAGAATTTTGGAAATCTTTTTAGCAACGCCTGCTATATATGGTAGTGTGTGTACAGTATTTACAATCATAAAACTGTATTTACAAAAGTCAGTGATTTCCACTTTACAATGATCAATGGAAATTTCTGATCAGTATAAATTCCACATTCCTATGACAGGATAGATAAAGTAACATGATACACCCCACTTTAATTCGTTTTGCGCCATATAAAGCAATTTCTTCGTTAATATTTTAAACTTTTTAAAATACTTTTTTTTAAAGCATTGCTTTGTAATTGTACAAGTTATAGTGCAAGTGTATTTGAAACTACATCAAATTTTAAACTGCAGTATTACTGACCAGTAGTTTTACAACACATTCTCCTGCGGAGGGAGCTGGTAGGAACGTTGGGTTGCTCGGTAAATGGCCAGGGTCAACGGCACCACGTGGTGTATTCCGCAAATATGCCCGACTGTGAGGGCGGGCACAAGCCGGCGTGAGTAGGTTAAACGTTGAGTTTTATAAGGGCACCACGGGGTGACCAACCCCTCCCCACCCAGCCCCACCCCTCCCACCCCCCCACCCAGCCCCACCCTCCCCACCCAGCCCCTCCCCACCCTCCCCTCCCCACCCAGCCCCTCCCCACCCCACCCAGCCCCTCGCCACCCAGCCCCTCCCTCCCCACCCAGCCCCTCCCCACCCTCCCCTCCCCACCCAGCCCCTCCCTCCCCACCCAGCCCCCCCCTCCCCACCCTCCCCTCTCCACCCAGCCCCACCCCTCCCATTTTTGGATGCACGACGGACGGACACAATAATCCCCTGTGGGCTGGTGGTGTAACCGGGAGGTTCCTCCACAGTACAATGTGTTGTGTCTATTTGTTTGTGTTTCTGTCCTTGTGATGGTGACTTTGTAGGATGAACGTTAAGATTTATAAGGGGCACGGGGTGACCAATAAGATCTACATTGGTCTGTAATAAGGTAGAGAGCACTGGTAAGGGGTTGACAGGTTTGTAGTGGTGAGTGTACTGGTGGTGAGTGTAGTAGTGGTGATTGTCTGTCTGTGTTTCTCACTTGTGATGGTGACTTTGTGGGATGAACGTTGAGATTTATAAAGGGGCACGGGGTGACCAATAAGGTCTACATTGGTCTGTAATAAGGTAGAGAGCACTGGTAAGGGGTTGACAGGTTTGTAGTGGTGAGTGTACTGGTGGTGAGTGTAGTAGTGGTGATTGTCTGTCTGTTTGTGTTTCTCACTTGTGATGGTGACTTTGTAGGATGAACGTTGAGATTTATAAGGGGCACGGGGTGACCTATAAGGTCTGAATTGGTCTGTAATAAGGTAGAGAGCACTGGTAAGGGGTTGACAGGTTTGTAGTGGTGAGTGTACTGGTGGTGAGTGTGGTAGTGGTGATTGTCTGTTTGTGTTTCTGTCCTTGTGATGGTGACTTTGTAGGATGAACGTAGAGATTTATAAGGGGTACGGGGTGACCAATAAGGTCTACATTGGTCTGTAATAAGGTAGAGAGCACTGGTAAGGGGTTGACAGGTTTGTAGTGGTGAGTGTACTGGTGGTGAGTGTAGTAGTGGTGATTGTCTGTCTGTTTGTGTTTCTCACTTGTGATGGTGACTTTGTAGGATGAACGTTCAGAATCATAAGGGGCACGGGGTGACCAATACGATCTCAATTGGTCTGTAATAAGGTAGGGGAATTGATAAGGGGTTGACAGGTATGGAGTGGTGAGTGTAGTGCTGAGTGTAGTAGTGGTGAGTGTACTAGTGGTGAGTGTAGTGGTGAGTGTAGTAATGGTGAGTGTAGTGGTGAGTGTACTAGCGGTGATTGTAGTGGTGAGTGTAGTAGTGGTGAGTGTAGTGGTGAGTGTACTAGTGGTGATTGTAGTGGTGAGTGTAGTAGTGGTGAGTGTAGTGGTGATTAGCTATTTGTTTGTGTTTCTCCCTTGTGATGCGACTTTGAACAGTGATATTTATAAGGGGCACGGGGTGACCAATAAGATCTACATTGGTCTGTAACAAGGTAGGGGCACTGATAAGGGGTTTGACAGCTGTGGTTTAATCTTGATTTGAAGCTTTTGTGACTGCAGGAATCCACGCACTTTGCTTCTTTCGGTAAAGTCACGTAGGTAGAAAAAAATAATAGGTCACGACGTTTCGATCGCAACCGTCATCAGGAGCCGTCCATAAATGACGTCACGCGATTTTTGACGATTTTTGACCCCCCCCCCCCTCTCAAATATTTGGTTGTTTCCACCTGATGACGGGCGCTTGTGTTGTGCCCGAAACGTCGTACCTTTACCGAAAGAACCAAAGAGTATGGATTCCCTGCAGTCACGAAAACTTCAAAGATACAAAACATTTTGATTTAAATTTTGATTTAAAGCTTTCGTGACTGCAGGGATTCATATTCTTGGTTCTTTCGGTAAAGTCACCACCACGTAGAAGGGAAACAATAAAATAATAAAAAATATAAAACAATAAAATTCTCACGACGTTTCGACTGCAACACAAGCAATCATCATCAGGTGTGAAAACCACAGCAAGAAAATTTTTAAAATTTTATTGCTGTGGTTTTATATTTTTATTATTACAATAAAATAATAAAAATATCAAAATGTTGTTTTATATTTTTATTATTTTACTGTTTCCCTTCTACGTGACTTTACCGAAAGAACCAAGACTATATATACCGCTCTGATAAACGATATAATTTATATAATTGATAACCTACGGGAGTCTACGGCATCGTTGTGAAACGGATTGTCCCGCATCAGAAGCCTCCTCCTTAAGGGCCCAGCGCGTTTAGCGCCACGAGGCGAACACTTTATTTATTAACCCTTGATCGTCGCAAATGCTTAAGACATATGTCTTATTTTTATTTTCATACTTTTAATACGGGCACAAAAAGGGTTCGGCGATCGACAAAAGTTAAGCCTCTGCGGATCCTTTAAAACGGTCGACAAACCGGCTTACAGAGAGCGTTGCCTTCCTTTCACCCATTAAAAAAAATCAACGCGTCATTCGCAATGTCTTTTAAACGGGAAGGAGATGACTCGAGCCAGCTGAATCTGTTAAAGGTAAACAACGTATTGTTTTTGTTTTGTTGTTTGTTAAAGATTCGTTTTTGTCCGGCAAATTTCCCGGCATGTGGGCCTAGCGCAGCAGGGTTTTCCCGTCTTGCCTAGAACCCCTGCCCCGGGGGAGTCGGCGGCAGCGGCGGTGACGGGACCGGTCACGTTGAACCATTAAGCAACGTGTATGGTTTCGATTTAAAGCTTTCGTGACTGCAAGGATTCATCTTCTTTGGTTCTTTCGGTAAAGTCACTTTACCGAAAGAACCAAAGAAGATGAACGTGTATGGCGTACAATTAATTATCTGTGCGTGTGCGTAGTGGGTAGTGAATCTAATAGATCTGTTGGTAATCCGATGTTTATAACGTGTTGTCCGTCTTCTGTAACTATCTTTGTTGTGAACAGAAGCGGAGGGTGGCTGATCTGTTGGTGGCAAACATTGCCGAAGACGAGGCGATGTTGTGTAGCAATGGCAGGTACACGTGGTGATCTTCACCATAACCTCACAGCACTCGCTCTTAAGTTTAACATGAAGGCTTTTGCGACCAATATCAGTCAATATTTGGAGTTTGCGTGTCTCTCATCATCATCACGGTGGCTAGGAGACGTTAACTACCTCGCCTGGTACACAGGAGGTCGTGGGTTAGAACCAGATCCTGACGCCTGCTGTGTATTTGAAGTTTGCGTGTCTCTCTCTCATCATCATCATCACGGTGGCTAGGAGATGTTAACTACCTCGCCTGGTACGCAGGAAGTCGTGGGTTCGATCCCGACTCTGTCGCCTGCTGCTGTGTATTTGGAGTTTGCGTCTTTGTTTTCCCTCCGGGGGTTTTGCCCTCCACATTTAGAATCAACGTCACGCGTTTCAAGTATTTATTTGAGATACATTTGCTGCTATATATTTCCACGCGATGATGATGATATCATTTGTGAAAGCCAGTTACACAGTAAGATACAAAAACATAGTTTAGTTTTAATTGGATATTTCGTTTTTAAAGCGATTTGTTTACCTTTCCTATACTTTGTACTCCCGCCGTGTTATTGTATTTGTTGGTACGTTCTCACCTGCCCCTACTGGAAAAGAGCTTTATAGCTCATCGGATTCCTCCAGTATAAATAAATATTCCGATTCATAATAAAGTTTTTTTTTGGGGGGGGGGGGTTTGATCGCGTACAGATAAATGCGTCGTTAAACCCGCCACCAACGTTTCGCCGGTGATAATACAATCAGCTTCATCAGGCGATTGTAATCACCAGCGAAACGTCGTACTCGAATTGTAAATGTTGTGGTTTTACTCTCCAACACACAACCGGCTAGTGCCGCACTAGTAACGAATTGGCACGTTTTTTGTGTTACGTGACAAACCTGACTAGATGGCCTTGTCTGGTGGTGGTGGTGGGTTTAACGACACATTTCTATTCACGTGAACTAACAGAAAAAACCCCCTTAATGATAGTGTTTATCTTCATTGGCCGTACGAAATCATCATTAACTCGCACACAGCGAGGTAAGGGGAGCGGTGGCGCAGTGGTTAGCGCACTACAGTTCTGCACACTGTGAACCCAAGCAAACCGGGAGTTCGATTTCCGCCCACGACAAAGGAAACATGTAACGTTCGGACAACGTTGGCACGTTATTGGAGCCGTTGGACGAACTTCGGCTCAACGTTCCATGTTTATTGCGGAGTGATAGCTGAACAATTCCCTGTTGCTCCCCACCTCCGACGTACCTTCACCAGCCTGCACTGATCGGCGTGGCGAAGTATGGTCAAGCAATCCGCCCACTTCGTGCAGTTGCTTGGAGTGAGCTGACGGGCGAAGGGCCGCACGTGTTCACGCGCGCTGCGGAGTGTCCACGCGTACTGCCGGGTGAACGCACGTGCTGCGGAGCGTTACTGCCCAGTGTTCACGCGTACCGCCGGGTGAACGCGCGTCCTGCGGAGCGTTCACGCATGTTGCGGGGAGAACACCTGCGCGGCGGGGTGAACACGCATTGCGGAGCATTACTGCCGGGTGAACACGCGTGCCGCCGAGTGTTCACGCGCGCCGCGGAGCGAACATCTTGGGGGGGGGTGTTCACGCGCGCCGCGGAGCGAACATCTTGGGGGGGGGTGTTCACGCACGCCGCGGAGCGAACAGGCGTGCTGCGTGTATGTACGCTGAGCTTCTTTCGCACCGCGCGTAGCCAACCGCGCTAATCGGAGGTGTCGCCGCCGCCGCCGCCGCTGTGTCACCGCCAGACTGGCGTGCACCGTGTGCCCCCACCGGCCCGTCTTCGACACCGTCGATGTCCTCGCGTCGCACCGCCGGGGCAAGCGCCACCTGCAGTGTGAGTAACACACGTCTCTGTTCTGATCGGAGGATGATTAATTTTTCGCTTATTTTTGCATTTTTTTTTTATAATTTATAGATTTGCTTCGAGTGAATGTCGCTCCCCGCAGTTGGCTTATTCCCTGGTTTCTGCAGCACGGCACGGAGTGCGTAGATCAACGTCACCGGTACAGCCACCGGTGCAGCAACTCACTTGGTCAACTTGGTGCATCACCACGCACGCTCATCGCATCGAAACGCTCTCATTCCATATCCGCAGTGTAGTCTTCTTCTTTTTGTATGTGTAGTGTCAGTGATTCGGAGACGAGGTTTGTAGGAGGCACCTTCTTTATTATCAACATTCACGGTCTCATCCACACACTCTCCACAGTCGCTTAGCCTAGCCTGTACACAACACTAGCCGTCTAACACTAATGACGCCGACTGAGATAGCCAACAACTATCCTGCAACGCAATGTCTAGTGAAGACTACAGCGATAACGGCGACGAGACGAGTCCACTCCCAGAACCGGCAGCCTCGAGCTCCCGCGCCCGGCTCCTTTTATGCTCCCAGCGCGGCCCTGGCTCCGCCCTGACCGCGCGTCCCTTCTCAAACCCGCTAGCAGGTTCCAGGGGCGTCCAGATGGGGTCCTCCGTGACCCTTGCCCCAGTTCCTCCGCTCTGCCAACACACGGTGCACACCGTCACCGGCGTGTCTGTCCACCACAGTTGTTGCTGCTGTCCACCAGCCGGCGCTATTGCACTACATATGGATTAATAGCCCACCGGAGGTGCTTGGGAAATCGCAAGTGCGTGTTGGATATGATGATGGTAGTATGGTTGCTGATGGTGGGTGATGATCCTGCTGGTGCTGCTGCTGCTGCTGATGGCGTGTCACGTGTGTGCTGGACAGGTTTGCAGAAACACTATGGCAGGAAGCTTGACCTGAAGAATGAGCTACTGAAAAGGAAACACAGGGCCTATGTGGAGGCAGAGAGCGGCACTGCCCAGGTAATGCTGGAGCTAAGGTTGTCACCATCATTTGCCCTCGCCACAATTTAATCAATTGTCACAAATCTTGACTTAAAGCTTTCGTGACTGCAGGAATTCATATTCTTTGGGTCTTACGGTAAAGCCACATAGATAGAAAAATAAAAAAATCACGACGTTTCGATCGCGACACAAGCAAGCGTCATCAGGTGATAATTGCTTGTGTTGCGATCGGAACTTCTTGATTTGAGAAAAAATATTTTTCTATCTACGTGGCTTTACCGAAAGACCCAAAGAATACGATTGTCACAATTCGATCATTACGTCAGAGGAGGTAGTTGCACCTCCCGTGTGTTTAACCCAGTTAAAATGTGCAGGCGGCTTGCGGGGTTGGCGGATCTCGCCACGGTGGTGATATGTTCACTCCCTCGCCTGGTATGCAGGAGGTGTCGTGGGTTCGATCCCGACCCTGACGCCTGTTGTACATTTGGAGTTTGCATGTTCTCCCCGTGGTCGCGTGGAATTTTCTCCCTGTCCACCGGTTTTTCCCTCCACGTTTATAAACGTGCGTTTAGAGTATTTGGCTGCTATAGATTTCCACATGATGATAAGCCGCTTCATTGAGCAATCATTTGCGATTGCCAGGTCGCTTCTGAAAAAACGTGCTACATAGCTCAGTGGGCCTTGCCTAGTAAAATAAAAAATAGTTTTCTAGTTTTGATTTTGGGTGACTCGTGGTTGACCGCACATCCTTGTATCCTCTGCCCAGTGTTGTGCTCAGTATTGTGCCCATTTGACATTTCCTCTGATGGATAAGGAGGACCCGGCTCCACTGCTGAGTGAGACCCGTCAAAAGGCGTATCACGCCCTGCTCACGAGCGCTCCCTACAACAGCTGCTGCCACAAGAGAAGGTGGGTGGGTAGGTGGGGCGCTTGCGACCAGATACGGTCTGTTTTCCTATAACGGGGCAGTTGCGTTCCCAAAGACCACCGCGTGATGGGAAAATCGCATTTTAATAAATAATACATAATATAGGTGGTAAAACACATACCTCGTTAAAGACTTGAGGCTCGTGGGTAGTATCTAGAAGCATCCAGCAGCATCCCGCCTTGTGCGATGCTCAACCGATGCAGCCGTACAACTTCTTATTCCTACTAGCACGACGTAGTTCCGTTCACTCGATCGTGTTATATCCAATTTGCATCCGCGTTATAAAAACACGCGTTCCCTAATAAATGCATTGCGTTATATACAACTGGCGTTATGAAAACACGTGGCATTACAGGAGAACAGATTGTACAGCGCTACCCCGATTTACGTCTCCCCATTTTACGTCGTTTCGCAAACACATCGTCGCTTTTCTTGACGCCCGGTGAAATAAACAAATTTTAGTTTACATTATGAGACCTCCTTTGCCAGTAATAAGATATAGGAATAGGTTTTACCCTTTTAACTGGCACAAAAACTGACACCTTTATTCAATGCATCATGTTTGCAATAACCACAACACAAGCAGTCAAAATGCAAACAAAAAAGACAACTCTGATACCCTGATAGTGCGCTGTTTTTGAGTTGTACGCATTTTGGCGTCTTCTGGTCCAACACCAATGGAGACTAGGCTCTAAGAAAAGCCGTCTCGGGTGTGGACCAATCAAATTCAAGGACAGTGCATATTTTTATCAGAGTTGTCTTTTTTGTTTGCATTTTGACTGCTTGTGTTGTGGTTATTGCAAACATGATGCCTTGAATAAAGGTGTCAGTTTTTGTGCCAGTTAAAAGGGTAAAACCTATTCCTAAATTTTAGTTTAGTCGGGAATATTTTCCTCTCGTCTCTTCTGCAGAGTTCCGAGCGCTGAGGGTTCGGAGATCGCGAGCGGTGGCTGCAGTCGTGGCGCGGAGGAGCGAGCGGAAGCGCGGGAGTCTCCCTCCTCGCCGGGACCGGCCCCATCTCCCCGTCTCCCTGCCGCCGCCGCCGGCTCCTCAGCTCCCTCGCCGCCTGCGTCTCAAGGCGCTGCCGCCGGTGCCGAGAGAAGGGGTGAGTTTAGCGTTTGGGGGGTGAGTTAAAAAAATAGTGAGTGAGAGCTTCTTGGCTCAGTGTGGGCCTTACCCGACATGAGATAAAATTAAACTGCAGCAGGCTCTCGATTATCCGCGCTAATGACGGGGAGGACGTTCCGTGGATAATTCGATATCGCAGGTAATCTAAAAATGCTATCTACTATGTGGATGGCAGAGCCACGCCAATCAGAATCAATCTCCGCCCACTCTTGGAAAGATATGCAACTGCTGTCCTGTAGTGGCGATCACGTGGATTTCGGATTAACCGCAGCACATATTTGTTTGGTTTAAGCACGTGACTCGGAATACACATTTCCAAGAATGACAATGTATAACTGTTTTTAGTTTATTCATTTGGGCTTAAGGGAAAATCAATGAGTTGTTAATTGATGTCAAAATCTCAAGGTGCGCGGTTGATCCGCAAATCGGATAAACCGCATGCGGATATTCCAGAGTCTGCTGTATATTTTATTTTAAAATCTCACTCAGCCAACCCATGGCACCACCTGGGTCTGTTCCGTGACCTCCTGCCAGCGAGCCTTCGACACTTCAAGCGATAGCTTTAGAGTGCACTTAGCATGGCACACGCGACGTGGTGACGTCACCGCCACTTCGTGGTGAACGGCGGTTATTGTTGTTGTGTGGTACTATGTTGTGGGCAGCAGAGGGCAGTGCAGTAACACCCAATGCACGTCTTCACCAACCCGCATTAACCAGCGTGGTGAAGAATGGTCAAAAATACCGCCACGACCCTCACGGCGTTTCGGAGGCCTTTTTCCAGCACTGGGTTGACCAAATGGCCATGCTTGTATGTGACGAAGCTAATGCAATACAACGGAACAAAGGTTCAGTAGAGACGCCAACGGTACACCAACAGAATCTGCATGAAGGTTAGTTGACCACGTAGGCTTTCGCGACCAATATTATTCATAATAAAGGTTTTTGGTTTAGGCCGACAGCCAATTGGTAAGGGATTTGTCACGTAAACAGAAAGGCCAATTAATTACTACTTCAACCTACCGGTGTGTTGGAAAGTTAAGTCCACAACATTCGCTGGTAATTACATCTCGTTTTCATTCGCAGTGACAAAGTCTTTGAAGCGCAAGAGCAAGGGCGCACGGGACGTGCCGTGCCAGCCCGCAGATCCGGCCAGGAGGCACGAGATGGAACATTACCTCCACCTCAAAAGGTACGATTCCCCACTCCTCGGGTCAAATCGGTTCGACGTTCAGTTCAACTCGGAAGAAAAATCGTGCGCTGCGCGTGGCTTTTGTGAACACTTTCCAACGTGCCTTTTGCCAGTCGTCGGATGTTCAACTTCTTGAGCACCGTACTTAGGCAACCGCGCTCAATTCGAGGTGCTGCAACCGTTGGCCGTGGAAGCCGATGGGTTTGGCTGTCCGGATAAAATTTCATTTGAATATTCGTCAAAGGTCCTTTTGGCACCTGTTTGTTGCGCGCAAGGTTTGGGGCAAGCGTTTAACGCCGACGCGCGTCGCGGGAGTTCAACATACATGTTGGAGAAACCGTTACAAACTCTATGTATGTATGTATGCAGGTGCGGGGAAAGGACAACAAACTAAACACAAAAAGCAGTTTAAAAGAAGTGAGTTTTCAATCTAGATGATGATTTAAAAGTGCATTGCTCCAGTGGCTTCCTAATATCAGAACGAAGAGCATTCCAGACGGCCGCAGAAGCGCATCCGAATGCGTGCGATGTGTTGACCGTCTTTGTTCGACGGCTAGCCAAAAGCCACTGCTGTGAGGATGATCCGAGTTGGCGTGATTGGTCAGTGTTCCTTCACGGGACCACCAAAGGTACCATACAAATGCCACATGTTTTTGTTTGACTTCAATTGAAGTACGGGGCTGACTGGATTCCCGCTGTTTTTTGTGGACAAAGAAAGCCACGATGGTTGCAACGGGTTTTTAAAGCACCGGTTGAACGTGAAACAGAAATTGAGTCGAGACTTTCACGTTGTCTACATTGACAGACGACGAGCGCTCTGGAACGGTCCGCTGCGGCAGCGGGGAGGCGCTACGCGACGCCAGGGTTGTGCCGTCGGTGCGCCTAACCAACGGCCCGCGGCCACTACCCCCCTCCTCCCTCTCCCCCCCTTGCAGTTTGGGCTGGGTCCGCAACAAGGACGGTCAGTGGGAGAAGGACGAAGATGTGGAGTTTGACTCGGACGAGGAGGAACCTCCTGTCATCGCTCCTCTTCCTCCCCCGGTGCCTCAAGTGGATACAATCAACATTGCTCCTCCTCCGCCTCCGCCTGCTACTCCACCTCCACTCTCTCAGCCCTCCGGTCACCCACCTCCCCATCGGCAGAAACGGCAGCAGCCACCGGTCATCATCAATAAGCGGCGGTGATGTCACCGTAGCGCTCGTGCCTGGCTAGGTGCACGTTGAGGCTGTCGCCGTGAAGCGTCGAATGCTCGCTGGCGAAGAATTCCGCAGGGCGGACCTAGGTGTCCCGTGTGTTACTCACCGAGATGATTGGCATCACCGGAGCGCTCGTGCCTGGCTAGGTGCACTTCGAATGCTCACCAGAAGGAAGTCCAGGGCAGACGCAGGCATTGTGGGTCACCGACAGCGGCGACTGGTAAATCATCGCAAGGTATTGCTATTTTGCCGTCAAAGATTGCGAAATGTTATTTGTCACTGCGCTGGCCTCTTGAAGGTCTTCAGAAATGGAGGGGGTCCACCTGGAAAATTACTTGATACTCAGAAACGGTCATCATCCAGAAGGTAGTATGCTTGTGTTGAGAGTAAAGTATTTAAATTATTATTTTTTTTACCAGGTAAGGCCCACTGCACTATATCGCTGTTTTTTCAGATGCGACCTGGCCGCAAATGAGAGCGCAACGAAGTGGCTCATCAAGTGGCAATTTACAGGAGCCAAATACTCTCAATGCATGTTTCAAAAAGGTGGAGGGGAAAAACCGGAGGAACCCGGAGAAAAATCCACGCGGCCACGGGGAGAGAAACTCCTAATATGCAGCGGGCGGCAGGGTCGGGACTGAACCCACTTCCTCCTGCATATCAGGCGAGGTTGTTACCATCAGGAGTTGAATATTGCAGGTTGTTTCAGGTTGTGTGTTGATCTTCACATTTAGTGTTCTTATTCTTGGTTCTTTCGGTAAAGTGAACGTAGAAGGGAAACAATAAAATAATACAAATATAAAGCAATACAATTATCACGACGTTTCAACTGCAACACAAGCAATCATCATCAGGTGATGATTGCTTGTGTTATTTTATTGTTTCCCTTCTACGTGACTTTACAGAAAGAACCAAGAATATGAATCCCTGCAGTCACGAAAGCTTTAAATCAAAATTTAGGTCTCATAATGTACATGCTCACCCCGAGCCCTCAATACTCTGATAGTGTGCTGTTTTTTGAGTTGCACGCCTTTTGGCGTCTTCTGGTCCAACACCAATGGAGACTAGGCTCTAAGAAAAGCTGTCTCGGGTGTGGACCAATCAAATTCAAGGACAATGCATATTATTATCAGAGTTGTCTTTTTTGTTGCATTTTGACTGCTTGTGTTGTGGTTATTGCAAACATGATGCCTTGAATAAAGGTGTCAGTTTTTGTGCCAGTTAAAAGGGTAAAACCTATTCCTATATCAAAATTTAGTGTTCTTGTTTAGTGCGGGTTATGTTGAAATAGTTTATTTGGCTTCATCGGATCCAATGAGATTTTCCACATTCCTGGCAAGTTGGTCAAACGCTTAAGTGTGCCAGAAGATCTTTGAGTGATATCATACGGCATACAAAAAACCAAAGCAGGACTTGTTTTTCGGAAGTTTTATTTATTTTTATAACATTCAAAATTTGTACATAAAAAACATGAATAAAAATGTATGGATTTTTTTTTTACCATGAACAGCTGGCTAATATTTTTCATATGCATATTTAAGTTTTACAAACTACGCAGTGGACAATCGCATCATCATCAGGTTGGCCTAGCAGGATTTGGTGCTGTAAGGTAGCACATATCAAGCACACTTTCCACAACTCCGTCATCTGTCCAAAGCAGTCGCACGTGTATGATACACAAACGGCTTTTCTCGGGTGGCGAGTTAAAAGCCTGAGTTTAAAAAAAAAAACTTTATTGATATATTCTCTAGAGAAATAATAACAGTAATAAAACAAATCTATACATTAAAACATTTTCTTTCACTTAATTATTTACCTCTTAAACGAATAAACGAGTTTACACGTTGTGAATGTGCGAGCCGGTACACAAGCAGCGCGGATTTCAAAGCGGTCTGTACATGCGAGTGTGGTGCCCCCACACTGCTGGGGCGTCTCGACTCCGAGTCAGTCCATCACAACAGGGCCAGCGAGAACACAAGACGACCGAATGCCAGCGCCGACGTTCAATCCTCTCTAACCACCGTAGTATATAATGCGTTTATACTACTACCAAAGCTACAAAGTGACTTATAAATCTTCCTAAGTTAATTATTTTTGCCAATCTCTCTTTTTGTGTTTTTAACATCACGGTTGCTAAACACGGGGCCCAAACGTTTCAAGCGGCCAGCAACAAACGGCGCACCTGCGATTATTGGCGACGTACAGTACGAAAAGCTCAACATTCTTACATGCCTAGAGCGCAACTGAACGTTGTGATAGGTAAGGGTTTAATGGGTTCCTTGAAACGAGCAAGGTTATTATTCTAGGAACTTGGGTGGAGGGAGGGAAGGGGGGAAAGAAACGATCAGGGAAATTCTAAAGCAGCAGCGGTGCAAGGCAAGGAGCAGAAAGGCACGTGGTTGTTAGCCTGCAGTGCGGCGGCTGGTCGGTGGGGTGAGTCGGGTAGATCATGTCCCGCGACAAAGGCGGAGGGAGTCGACGAGTTAACGGATAATAATTTTTTTTTACTTTCACGGCTGAATTGTAAAAGTCCGTTATACCACGAACGAGAGCAAAAACATGGAATTTCCACTTGACTTTTCTGGCAACTATACATACACGTTTAAGATCGGCGGTGATGCGCAAGTTGTACAAGGGAGAGCACAACGATAAAAGCGTACTTTTTTTTTGCGCGATATGCGACTCACATCTGGCTTGAATCGACATCTCTTGAACCTTGGACCACCCATGGGACAGGCTGAACACACGCGCCTCGACGGATGCCATCGGCAGAAACACAGCCGATGCGTCCAAAAATCCTACAGACGGCAAAGTCTGTCCCATCTCTCCGCCACCCATAGAGTTGATTCAAAATGTAATCCTTGGGAGCAAAAAAAAAGTTCCAGCAACAGGATGGGGGGAAAAAAAAGTAATCGGTTTTAGCCTTTTCCCGGCAACTATACACACAGAGGAGGTGTTAGTCCGCGTTAACCACGCATCATGCTCGTGTGGTAAAGCATGCTCTGATAATGTATGCATTGTCCTTGCAACCGACTGGCCTACACCAGAGGCAGCCTCCTTTATATAAGCCTCGTCTCATCACCGGTGTCAAGCCGAGAGAACGCCAAACGGCGAGCAGCACAAAGGCAACGCAAATATCAAAGCATTAATAGATCGGGAGGAGCAGTTATTTATTATGGATTAAAAAGAAAATCACCGTACGTTAGGCATCTGTCCCCCGCTGGTAATTGTTGCTCATGATGATGACATTGAATCCACTGGCGAAGAGGCTGCAAGACAGATGCCTTGACATGAACGTGCGCCAGCATTGTGCTCAGAATGAATGTCCAAGCCAGGCACGTAACAAAACAGAGGCGACACTGTGAGCAGAGGGCAGTGCAGTGAACTCTTGTACCATACTTCGCCTAGAGCAACCCACACTGACCTGCAAGGTGAATAGTCAAATAATCCACCCCTTACAGCCCTGGGGAGGCCCCTGGACACAGCAGTAGATTGACGAAGGGCAACGTATGCACGCATGTTGCGTACGAGTGGCTAAAGTAAATCCTGCAAGCGGCCAGGGGTTTCTAAGTTCACTGCAAAGCAGACTTCTTTCGCGTCGTACGTAGCCGATCGTGCTAAATCGGAGGTGCGGGGAAAGTACGGAGACGGTTTTCTTGAGACTTTGTGAACCAAAATTTCTTCCGATCGGCCGGGGGTGCGACGCCCAGCGATGTCACCAAGCCGCGCCCCCCCCCCCCATAACCTCCCGTCCAGCGGCACACGTGGGGGAACAGACAGAGGTGAGACTTATCTTTATGCCCGCCCCCCTCCCAGACAATTACGTTTTCCGAATGGAACCGCCAGTTGGTAGAGTAAAAAGCGGTCGCTGAAAATAAGCAAAAGCTCATGCCCTCCCTGTCCACTCCCCCCGCCCACATCACGCCAGTGCAGCTGACAAGCCATAAATGCCCGGAGTACTGACGAAACAACATTGACGACTGGAATTGGTTTCATGTTAAAACACACGTACGTACACACACACACACACACGTATATTATATACAGTATAAATATATAAAACATTTTTTATTGTATTTGCATCTAAAATATTATTTTTCCGCCGCAACCAAGGCCCTGGTCGTGTGCGTGGCGGAAACGGCGCAAGGCGACGTCACGAACCACTATTGTGCTTTCTAAAAAAAATAGGGGGCCACCGGGGTTATTACACACCGCGCTCGTCCGCAAAAGAAAAAAGGAAACCTCTCGAAAGGCATCCCCCGTCCCCTCCGCTAGCCTTCACCAGTGAAAGCCGGACGATGGTAACGCCAGCGAGGCAGGCATTGACGGAAGTCCAGAGGGACGGGGGCACATTTAAGAATTGACAGGAGTAGGCGGTGGGGCCGGAGGGATAGATACGACGGGAAGCAGAACTTGCCAAGCGGGCGGAGCGCTCGGCCGTGGCCACTGCGCACGCCCAGCGTCGGCTCTCGTTGAGCGGTGCGCGGTTAGGGGAGCGCTTTTTAGAACGGCGGAGGAGCGGAGCGTTGTCGCTTGAGGACCTCACCAGGATGGGACGCGCGCTGAATGAACGGGCAACGGATGCTCGCCATCTCGACAATGATGTGACCGTGCATGACAAAGGTTGTTGTTGAGTTAGATCGCGCAAATATGAATGCGTCGTTAACCCCGCCACCACGATACGACACAGCCGTTAAGTAAGGTTTGTCAGGTAGACAAGTCGTGCGAATTAGTTACGGGTACAGCACACCGGTGTGTTGGAGAGTGAAACTCACAACATGTACCATTCGAGTACGCCGGTAATTACAACTAGCATCATCAGGTGATATCCAACTCGGGCTGTCGAAACGTAAATGTTGCAGTGCGTTTTACTCTCCAGCACACAACCGGATAGTGGCGAGTTGCGGAGAAATCCTCCCCCTGTTTCGGTCTTAAAAAGAGGCGATGAATGTGATGTCGTCACTTGCGAGCCAATCAGGTGTGAAGGCCAGGTTGGAGGGTGGGGGGGGTTGGTTAATGTGTGCATATAAATTACAGCAGCAGGTCGTTCCAACAGAAGAGCGCTCCACTCAGCCCTGTTGAGTGCATGCGCAGCAAGGCTATTGCAAACCTGTCAACCCCTTATCAGTGCCCTTACCTTATTACAGACCAATTCAGACATTATTGGTCACCCCGTAACCCCTTATAAATCTCAACGTTCATCCTACAAAGTCACCATCACAAGGGAGAAACACAAAGCCAACAAAAATTGCCCGTATTGAAACGGCTGTTTTGCCGTACGGACCTGAAAACTCAATTTTCCTGTACAAGAATACGGGGTAAACCGTGTGGGTTGACAGGTGTGCTGTTGTTTACTGTCCTAATGTTCCCGATATTCGAAGCGGTTGGTTGTTGCCACAATGAACGACGGATGGTTATGGGAGTTATAAAAAGGCACGTCAGGTGATTTGGTTAAGTCCTCAATTTGTGTCGTTGGAATCTGGTCATGCTTTGCGTTAAAAGATTCTGAAACGCAAAAAAAGTGGACGCGTCTGTTTACAGATCATGTTGAATAATAATAATAATTGACAAAAAAATGAATAATCTGGCTTCAACTGGAAGAAACTCGAGCAGGAAGGCCAAATGAAAGCCTGGAGGAAACGCATAGCCACCAGACCTGCCTTCCCAGTGCCTTCCACGTCTCCACAGCTACGCTAACAAACGGCGGACGTTGCGAGCGATTGCTTTGCGGAGCTAGAAGAAGGAGGGTGTGTGGGGTGAGGGGGGGGTTTCGTTTCTGTTCGGGCGACGATTAAAGCCCCGAAATCAGCGACGGTAGACAGAAGCGCTTCATCGCGCTTCGTCGCGGCGGACGTGACGAGATCGGCGTCAGGATCTCTATTCATGCCGGAGGAATCCGACGAGCTACGGAGCTCCTCCCCCCTTCCTCGCAGATGTCGGAGCAGGAGAAATCAACACCGCTTCCTCGAGCGCCGCGCTCGCCGCTCCGTGTCGGGGCACGGACGAATTTTCCATCGGCCCTTCGCGCATCGAGTCAAGCACGACGGAACGGGCACGATGCAGCGTCGTCGATATTTCAAAAGCAGGTCATCATCACTTACCCGGCTGGCTTCCCGCTAAAACGTGCAACTTTGGGGGCCTAACGTTTGCATGTTATTCTGTTTGTGTGTTTTTTTTTACACAACTTTGTATTTATTCCCCGACTCGGCCTACCTGTGCATGTTGGCGGGACGACTTTTATTGCAAGGACAAAGCTTGCACATTTTTTTTTTGTTAGCAGTTATATCCAACAGCCCTCTTCGATCAAAGCGGGGACACGAAATTGTCCCTCGGCGAGAACGCACAGGCGCACTGCGCACTCGACGAGTGCACGACCTCTCGCCGACGCGATCCAAAAGGCAAAAAGAGCACGATCCCCCTCTAGAGCCGCGTCCACGCACGAGCGATCAGTTTGGCCCACGTGAAATTGGTGCTTGGTGTTAAAAAGATCGTGCGAATTTAATGGCAGGAGAGTGAAGCAGTATAACTGCTTTGTCCACATCCGAGCGAGCGGCTGCGCAGCGAGGAAATTGAAACGGCGCGTGCAGGATCGTGACGACCGATTCGCAAAGGCGCGGCACGCGACGCGTGAAACACTGCCCCGCTCCAAATCGCCGCGCGATTCGTCGCTTCGATGTCGAGTTACGTCCTCTGCAATCCGTTGCAGACATCCACGTGCAAAGCGCTTGCAACTGCGCGCAGCCAAGTTGCTTGCGAGTGATCGTTTCGGGCGTGGATCCGGGCTTAAGGCTGTCGGTGAGCTACCCTGACCGTCAACAGTCACACGGACGGACGCTGCTCCCCACGGGCGCCTCCGATAAGCACCGTTGGCTACGTGCGGCGCGAAAGAAGTCCAACAAACGTGCATACACTGCGCACGCGCAACCCTGCTCATATGTCGTGTACGCACGGGAGCTGGTGTTTTGTGTGCGCGCGCGGGGCGCACGTACAATTAATATTACACATTGCACTTCCTATCCAAAGGGTTACTTCCCCCGCGAACCAAACTCCAGGACGGCGACGGTCGCACATCCCACCCTCGCACATCCGACCGAGCCCAGTGCAGTATTTGTGCATTAATGGCGTAAACTCTCGTTTTGCCGGAGACGTTCAACGTATTCCCAACGTTTCCGCACATCCGTCCGTAACTCGCGCCCGCAGCGACGTGGCAATGCGATGTAGACACGGTCGGTACGGGGCGGGGGGGAGTTGCAGACGGGGGGGGGGGGAAGCTTTTGGTGGTCGCCCAACTCCCAATCTCGGCCTTCGAACGCCACCTAAATTAATTGCAGACTATCCCAAGGATTTTGAAAATGATCGTTTGTGTTTCTCACGTGTAAAAAAAGAAAAGAAAATATTTTTCGACAGTGGAACGTTTTGGAGACGTAATTTTTCGCCGGGGGGGGGGGGGTGGTGGTTTGTGAGTCAATAGGAGAACGAGGCGAGCAAGATACGTTCCCGCAAATTTTTGCGGGAACGTATCTTGCCCGTTGAGCGAGACGAGCAAGATACGCTCCGCCAAAATTTTGCTCGTTGAACGAGAAAAACTTTGGCGGATCGAGACGACACCGCTGTAAACGAGCGACCGCCGCGATGCGGAAACCCTACGCGGGAGCTGGCGGCGAGTGCCGTGTGGTGGTGGAGGGCGCGAGTATTGTTATTGCAGTGTTAAGTGCAAGTAGGCCTGAGTTTACAAGCAGCTAAGCTTTAGGTTAATAAACAAAAGAAGACGTAATTAATATCCTCTTTTTCAAGTTTGTATTACATACGATGTTATCAAAATGCGCGCCTGATGTGGTAACAAAAATACACTTCAATCACGATTAACTTTACCAAATGTGTTTCTTTCAGGAGGTGCATGTACTATTTAACTGTGTTCTGTACACGGTTCCGGACATTTCTTCCAAACCTCCTTTTGGAAGCTGATAAAAAGCATCCCTGAAAATAGATCGGTCGTTTTTTTTTTCGTCCCGTTTAACATTTTCCCTACGAAGAACGCAGGCCGTAGCAAAAACAAAAAAAAAATCTGCATTACAAAAAAATGTAAACCCGGCGCTAAAAAAAAAACACAATAAAATCTCGTGAGCGGCGTTCCGTCGTGAAGCCGTCGCGAGGAGGGGGGTGCGCGTCGACGGGCGGGCAAGCTCAATTCCAAGTCGACAAAGCGACAGGGGGTCACAAGGTGGCAGGGGCTCAAGGCGACACGTGACGACGTCATCGCCGGTAGCGGTGAGAGGAGTGGGGGGTTGCGGAACGACGAGCAAGAGAGCACGCGGCACAACACCGCACGGCAAACTCCCATCCTCCGCGGAGGAGTCCGGTTCTGCACCGTGCCGGAAACTGCACGTGGCTTCCAACGAGGGAGCTGTGGGCCGCACGGGACTACCAAATTGCTCCAGGATAAAGGACAGAGTTGCCAGCGCGAGAGATGGGCGGGCGGGCGGGCGGGCGGGCACGCGAGTGGGATTTCGAACTTATCGTTCACTCGGTGAACGGAGGGAACATGCTGAGATCTCCGAAATCTTCGCTGGTGTAGTTGCCCGCAGCCTGAGTTGGGTCCCCGAGCATGGAGAGAACATCCTGGAGTAGAAATAAGGGGGGGGGGGGGGGAGATACAGAAGGGTTAATAATTATTATTAATCTGTGATGGAATGTCCAGGCGCATGAAGAGGACTCGCGGTTGTTGTTCCTCCCCCGCACCTCCGATTGGCACATTTGGCTACGCACGGTCCGAAAGAAGTTCAACAAATACGTACATGCGTACGTACGTATTTCCTTTCTTGTAAAAGAGTATTTTATCTCGCAGGCCTTTCTCCCCTGGTTATAGTTCATTTATTGACTTATCGATTGCAGGGGATTGTGATCTTGTCCCTGACCCGTGCACTGCGCACGCAAAGATAAATAAGCCCTCCCACCCCCCCCCCCCCCCCCGTATAGCCTTAACAGACTGTTGCACCAAGTGCTGTTCGCAAGCACCTATGGCGACCGGTAGGGGACACGAGGGGGGTGGGACGCCACCACCACGCCCGACCGTCTTTGTCCTCTACAGTGGGTCACATTTGCAAACCGCACCAGGTTACTCATTTGAGGCAGAGTCGACCTAGGGTAGGCCCTGAAACCGGTTCAGATGATCGTCACTGGTGTTGGGGGCCCGTGAGCGAGAATCGAACTCAGATCGCTGGGTTCGTAGTGCACGCACGCACACGCACGCACACGCACTCGCTCACCTGGAAAACTTCAGGCTGCGTCTGCTGCCCCTGGGAAGGGTCGTTGCTCGCCTGCCCGCCATGCTGCCCTGGCCACTGCGGCCAGATGGCTGCCCCCTCGACTCTCCGCGATTGGTACGATCCGGCGCCAGGGCTCGTCTCGGCTACTCCGCGGTCCCCCACGCCGACACCACGCGGACAGAGGCACACAGAGACACATGGACACGCAGACACGCGGACACAGGTAAGGATGATGAGTGCGTGGTGGACCTGTGCGAGGCATGCATCACCCACACGCGTAAACACACACAGAGACGGAGGCTTTCATCTCAATTTGAATGAGTGTAACGTCACGTGGGTCGCTTGCGCGAGCGTAAAAAAGATCCCCCGTGCAGCCTTAACAGACTGTAGGGGCGAGTGCTGTTAGCGAGTAGCAATCTATGAAGGCCGGCATGGCACACGAGGGGGTGGGTGGCCAGCATGACGCCCGGCCGCCTTTGTCTCCCCAGTGGCGATGTTTACACACAACACCAGGTAATAATTTGAGGCTGAGTAGACCTAGGGGAGGCCCAGGACCGGTTCAGATAACCATCACCGATGCTGGTGGCCGTGAGCGGGAATCGAACTCGGGTGGCCGGGTCAACAAAAAACTACTAGTTCTTAGTTATTTTTTGTTCTTTTCTTTGAACCTATCTACGTGACTTCACCGAAAGACCCAAAGAATATGAATTCCTGCAGTCACGAAAGCTTTAAGTCAAGATTTAACAACGCCCTCGTCAAGAAGCTCCACCCCGCGGGGGCGGATTCGAGAAATCCTCGCCCTCACCGTAGGCGGTTCGCCCGCCCTGCTGCATGCCGCTGTAGGGGGACCCCGTGGACCCCGGGGCCCCCTGGGTGGGGCTCCCCAGCAGGGGGTTGAACGACCGCTGGGCCCCGACGGAGGAGCCCCCCCCCGCCCCCCCGACTCCCTCGCCGCCCCCCACCGAGTTGGCGGCGATGGCGCCGCCGCCGCCGCCCACGGAGGCGCCCGCCGGGGGCGAGAAGCCGTGAGGAGGCGGCGGTGCCCCCACGGAGAACGGCGCTTGCGGCTGAGGCTTGGGAACCTGGAGGAGGGAGGGAGGGGGATCGTAGGGGGTGGGGGGAAAAGCAGTGGGGGGGGATAGTAGGGGGTGGGGTGAAGAGGAGGGCGAAGGGTGGGGGATGGTCTGGATAAGCCTGAGAATACCGCACAGTAATACCCCCCAGTTTGTGTGGGAAATGTGCGACGGTGAATTTTGAAACGACGTGAATCGAAGCGAATTGCAGGTGGTAGGGTAGGTGGAGGTGTTGAAAGAGTATATGGTTGCTGGAAATTTCCACGTGATGAGTTACTTCATTGGGCTATAGTGTGGTCAGGTCGCTTCTGAAAAAGAGCTATACTGTAACAGCTCGGTGGGGCCTTACCTAGTAAAATGAAAATAGTTTAGTTTTAGAGACTGCAAGAGTGCCACTTGAAAGTTGGGTATCGACCGTGCAAGAGTTGTACGACGTGGCAGAAGGAAGCAAGCAACTTCGGGGGTGTGGTAGCATCGGGAGCAGTCTTGACCAGACCTTGTCCTGAACACAATTCTAACACGAGGCGGGCGTCAATGCAGTGAGATGACGCAAAGCCGGGCTGCTACGCTAGCTCGCTCGGTTTGGCGAGATTAAAAAAATAATTCGGTTTCAGTTTTAGACGAACGCACGCACAGTTCCTCTGCGAGTAGCGGGAGAGGCGGTGGTGGGAGTTGCGGAGGGATTCACCTGGCCGGTGAAGGTTGGCCGCGGAGCGGGCCACGCGTTCGCCACTCCCAGGCCGTTCGCCGGCGGGCGCTGTGGCGTCTGAACGAGGACTTGGCTCCCCACGGCGCCCTGCAGATTCACCCCGGGCACGATCGCCGGAGTGCCGTGCGCGTGCGGGTGCCTGAACGCACGCAACGTCCATTTGAAACGAAACAAAAACAACCAGAAAACACATGCGGGCTCCTACGGAGCCACTCGCGACCATCGGTATGGTTCGGTCCTTCGCTTAACGCGCGGTGCAGTGTTCACACTGCAACACGTTGTCACCACAACGCGGGTTCATCCGTTCGGGAACGCTTTTCGAACAACGAGCACCGTGCCCCGTTGTTATAACGTTGAGCGCTCGCCGCTATAATGCGCGCCGTTATAACACGGTTTCTGAACTACCGAGTGGTCCGGCGATAGAGTAACGCGGTACGACACGGCAGCGCGGGTGGGTGGCGGCGTTACCCTCGGTAATTTGTCGCGCCATATTCCCCGTGTGCGCGCGTACGTCCGTGTAAAACATTTAGACGCGCGGGGAGGATGGTGTCGGTTAGTCGGCAGCACGCACTTGTATGGCTGGGCCGGGTGGGCCGGCCGGTAAGGCATGTTGTGCTGGTACATCTCCACAGAGCTCACTCCTCCTCCCATGGGCTTGGTGCTCAGCTTCTGATCTGCTGGGGGACGAAAGCGTGAAGGACAAGCGGAGCGTTTCACGTCAGGATTGGTGAAGCTAATGATCCACCCACACACTCGACACTACGTGGGCGGGGCGGGGAGCGGCAGAACTATGAAGTGCCACCAATGCTGCGCACGACTGAGAATTGAACTGCAGGTTACTGGAATCATACCGTATCCGGCTGCTATAAATGTTCACGTGATGATGATAAGCCATTTTGCTGAGCTATCATATGCAATAGCGGTAGCTTCTGAAACAATAAGCTAATAGCTCAGTGGGCCTTACCTGGTAAGATAAAAAAAAATGGTTTCGTTTTATTTGTATTTTTTTTCGGAATTTGTTTACCTTTCCTATACTTTGCACTGCTATCGTGTTTTTTTTTGTTGTTGTAACGTTCTGACCCCGTGCCCCTTACCGGACATCTGTGAAAAAGAGCTTCATAGTTCATCGGATTCTTAACAGTATAAATACATATTCTTATTCTAAAAGCAGGGTAATGACATGAGACAAATAAACAAAGACCCCCCCCCCACCCCCGTATAGCCTGAAGAGACTGTTGGGGTAAGAGTGCTACGAGTGAGGAACGTCTCGAGCAGTGGTTCTTAACGTGGGGTTGCACGCAACCCCCTGAGGGTGCGAGATACCCTCTCCGGGCGTGCGAGACGTGCCCAGATTCTTTTTCGAAAGGTAAATCGTTAAAAACGCAAATGAGGCCCACGTGCACGCAAGTAAATATATTTCACCGAATGAGACGACCCAAGCGGGTGCAAGCAAGGCTGCAGAAAAGTTTAAGAACCACTGCTCTAGAGGGTGGCCACAGGCCGCAACGGGGTGGGTGGTTGGCCAGCACCACGCCAGGCTGCCTACGTCTCCCCCAGTGCCGATGTAACACAAGGTACTCATTTTTAAGGGTCCGAGTCGACCTAGGAGAGGCCCGGGAACGGTTCAGATATTCTTCACGGACGTTGACGGCGAGTGCAAATGGAACTCTGGTCGCAGCGCGCCAACTGCTCCACCTGCCACACGCTCAACGGTGCACCTACGAACCGACACGCCTACACATTCTCTCTCACGCGCACACGCACAAAAAGTTGTGGTTCTTGCAGTTATAAATGTCATTTTAAATGCCACATGCAAGTTTCGCAAAACGTTATTTAAGATTGGTTACTAGATTTACATTGTACATAGCTTTGGGTGTTTACGATTATTTATCCGTCATGTTTATAACATTTTCCCCGCTTTTATTCTACGCAGTACCTGCAAACCCTCCCCCCTTCCCATCTAACGTGCTGGCTACCATCACACCAGCCGCTCTACGCAGCCCCTGGAAACCCTCCCTAAATCACGTGCTGGCTCCCGTCGCAAGAGCCGTGCTACGCGGCCCCCCGTAAACCTTCCCCTTTCCCACGTAATGCGCTGGGGGGCAATCGTCGCATCATCCGTCCTACAACACAACCACTGTAAACCTCTCGCCTTCCCGCGGAACTCGCCAGGGCACCGGTTTTACGGCCGGAGCTGCCGCCGCAAGAGGGCCGCGCGCGCACACATCTCGCGAGCCCTCGGTTTCGTTTCAGGGTCGGGGACCGGGAAATGAAGCGACCACGGGGACGCGAACGAGAGGCGGGTTTGGGGGCACGTGGGGGCCACCACCTTGCTGCAGGCCCTGGTACACCTCGGTGAAGCGCGGGCTGCGCTCGGTCCCGCCGAACACCGGCTCCGTCTTCTCCACGACGCGCTTGGCCCCGTGCGGCTCGGCACACACCGGGCCGGTCGGCACGGCCTGCAGCGGCATCTGCGCGGGTGACGAGAGGGCGGCGGGACACGCACGAGCGTCGGCGTCGGCTTGGAGCCAACCAAGTGGTGGGCGGGGACTAAACTAACTCATAATAAAACGGGGGTTTTGTTGGGTTAGATCGCCTCGACGTGAATGTGTCGTTAAACCGGCCAACCCAAACCGGGCCAATCAGTAAGGTTTGTCACGTAAACGAAACGTGACCAATTAGTTACTGGTTCAGCACGCCGGTGCGTTGGAGAGTAAACCCACAACATTTACAAATGGGGACGACGTTTTTGCTGGGTTAACGACACGTTTATATTTACGCGATCCAACCCACATTTCATTTAAAATTATGGATAATATTCGTCGCGAAAGCCTACGTGTTATATTACCGCATTTCTCCGGATTTTAAAACGCACTTCCCTTACCCCCTCCCCCGCTGTGTTATAATGGTGTAGGTGTCCAGATTTGTAGAATTTGATTGACACCGGGCACACATTTTGGGGGGGGGGGGGGTGCGGTCTTAACTTTGATTAGTTTCTACTTCAGCGCACCCGGTGTGTTGTGAGAGTAAACCCACAACATTTGACGCTTCCACATCGAAGAGACGTGGAGGTAGTAGGTAGGGTTGGTGGATCACTGCCCACCTCACAGCCTGGCAGGTGACGGCTGCCGAGTTATCGTTTTTTGTCCACGTGATGCAGATCGCTTACCACGCGTTGGTTTTCGCGATATCAGTTTCACGTAGCTGTGCAATCGTATTTATTGTATCATTCTCGTGCTCTGTCGTACCCCCATTACGAATCGAGATGACTTACAAGTTCTCAAACTGCAGTAAGCTCAACATAAGCCTGCCACTAGTCTTTCTAATCTTTAATAATAATACAAAAATTGGGTTAATAATATTAATGTTTTTTGGGTGAAAACCTTTATCATGGATAATATCGAAAAGCCTACGTGTTCAACAGCTTTTATAATATTTCGAATTTTTCCAATCGGTCAGATACGGAAATGATCGTGCGGAACCCTACACACGGCAGTATTAACCAGGACGGTTAACACTGCCCGGGATTCCAACCGTGAAACCTCTGCAACAGCAAGCGGCGACCAATGCCAACCAACGCCACCCAACGGCACCACCGCCGCACACCTGCGTAGTTTCGTAGTGAGCGATGCTCGCTCTGGCCGTCGGAGCGTCCAGCTCTGCTTGTGGCTGCTGGTGTTGCTGCTGCAGCTGCAGCTGCCTGGTGCGTCACACACACACACATACACACACGAACAAGAGCAGTTTCTCAAGCAAGAGAGGAGGCCCCGGTAATCATCGACGTTCCGTTTTTGTAACTGCGTCGATGAGATTAACAAAAAGATGCCGATGAACCACGGGGATGAGCTACAAGGTGAGCCTTGCGGTGAGCCAGCGCCCACCAACAATTTCCCAAGCTCTGCAGTCCTATATATATATTACTATCGGCCAATTAATGTATGTTTAGCTTCTTTCGCAACGTACGTAACCAACCGTGCTAATCGGAGCTGTGGGGTTTTTTAGGTAACACACACACGGTACATAAAAGGCAAGGAAAATTATTCTCATGTGATCTTCAACTGAGCTGTAGGGCTAAGTCAACATCAGAATCTTGATTTTATCCTGAAGAGCACACGAGAATAATTTTCCTTGCCTTTTATGCACCGTGCGTGTGTGCGCACAATACGTAAACACCTCCCCCGCAACCTCCAGATTTCCATCCTCCGCACCTCCGATTAAGCGCGGTTGGCTACGTACGGTGCGCAAAAGAAGCCCAACCTGCCTTAATATACCTGGTAAAATAAAAAAATATATTTAGCTTAGTTTATAGTTTAAGTTGTCTTGTGTGTTAAATCCGAAGCCCGGTGGTAAGAGTTTGGGTTTTAATTGTAAGTTTTGTGTATTTGTTTCGGTACAAGGTATCAAATATCAAGCAATTAAACTAGGAATATTTTTTTCATTTCGACCGAAGGTAGACTGGTTGATTTTAAACACCAGATGTGCTCCTTACACAATAACTTGTTAAATGTGCCGTCAGTCGCGAGTCTGAAACAGGTGTGGGTTGACGCGGGGAAAACCCATTAGGCTTCAACAAAGTTATAGTTCGCTTATTTGCAAATTGAACCATGTTCAATAAAAAGACAACAAATAATTTTCCTTGACTTTTTACGTACCGTGTGTGTGTGTGTGTGTAAGCGATAACGATGAAACCTCTGCTAACCTCCCGATTTCCTTCCCCACGCACCTCCGGTTAAGCGCGGTTGGCTACGTACGGTGCGAAAGAAGTTCAACGTATGTACATACGAGAGTGGGTCTCGGTGGGTCTCTGCGTTTCTTTCAAAATCTGGAGCTCTGCGGGTTTCTAAGGGTCTCTCTTCCGATACTAGGAAGCCACTGGAGCTATGCTCTTTTAAATCGTCTAGAAAACGAATTTCTTTAGAACTGCTTTGTGTTTAGTTTGTTGTCCTTCCCCCGCACCTCCGATTCAAGCGAAGTTGGCTACATACGGTGCGCGAAAGAAGTTCAACATGCGTCCGTATGAGTGTGGGTCTCTGTGGGTCTATAGGGGTGGAGCTGTCTGGTTCTCGATGGGTCTCTTCCTTCTGATATTGGGAAGTCACTGGAGCTATGCACTTTCAAATCGTCTCGAAAACTAATTTCTTTAGAACTGCTTTGTGCGTTTAGCTTGTTGTCCATTCCCCCGCGCCTCCGATTACGCACGGTGTGCGAAAGAAGTTCAACGTACGTACGTACGTACACACGTACGTACACACGTACGGACGTACGGACGTACGGAGGGCGGCACCGCGCACGACGGGAGACTCGGGACTCAACGCGAGCGTGCATTTGGGCTGGTTCCGGGACGCGATCACGCGCGACTCTCACTTGACGTTGGTGTTAGTGCACACGATGTACTCCACGTCGTCGGAGAAGGGGTTCTGGAAGGTGAAGCTGCTGGTTCGGAGCCAGATCCACTCGCCGCTCTTGCTGTGGAAGCGGAACATCACTGACAGCACCTGCCCCTTCAGCTTGAGCACCTGAGTTTGCGCGCGTAGCAGGGGAGTTGGCAAATTGAAAAAAAGGCATCGCAAAAGAAAGATTGCGGCTGTCATTAATTAAAATCACTGTCAGCATCATCATAGTAGCTCTGCGCGACAGCTTATGGTAGACTTATGCACTACAGCTCCTGTCACCCTGCACCACAACTCCTGTCACTTTGCACTCCTGCTCCCTCCTGGCAGACTAATGCCCGCAGAGGTCACTCTTGCGAATTAAATTATATCTGGGTCTCCTGGGTTCTCTCCCTTGGTTAGCAAACACAAACGTGGCACCTTTGAATGTGCACAATCTCAGCAGAATCCGAAGTCCATCCTTCTCCCCCCCCACCCGACCCCGCACCCCCCCTGCCCCCCCTCCCACCGCACCACTTCCACCTCATAGTCAAGTCGACAGCACTTCCCTGTGTCAATCCCACCTCTAGCGCTACCTATACACTCCTGGATCGCAATCTTATTAGGTCTCCCTCTACCCCCATGTGAAGTATTACTCTCCCTGTTAGTAGCCCCCCCGTGAGGCCATGTGCGAGTACAGCAGGGCTAGAGGGGCTAGCGGGGCTAGCGGGGCTAGCGGGGCTAGCGGGGCTAGCGGGGCTAGCAGGGCTAGCGGGGCAGGCCAGTATGCCACTGTGTCCGAGCGCTGGTCGCCGCACCTGCTGGAAGCTGTCCCGTACGTGGTTCTGGTCCTCGACGTGACAGAACTCCACGGGGTCCTTCCCAAGAAGCTCCTGCGCGTACACGGAGGACACACGGAGGACAAGCAGAGGACACATGAGGACACACGGAGGACACGCAGAGGACACGCAGAGGACAAGCAGAGGACACGCAGAGGACACGCAGAGGACACGCAGAGGACACGCAGAGGACACGCAGAGGACACGTAGAGGACACGCAGAGGACATTCGCTCGGCACACCTGCGGCTGAAATCCGAGGACGCTGACGCATCTGTGGTCGACGAAGGTGAAGACCCCATCCATGTTGTGCCGCGAGATGAACTCCGTCGGGACGGAGACGCCCGTCATGTCCGAGCAATTGGGGGAACTGGTCACCTGCAACCGCACGCGCCCACGAGAAACTGCGGGTCACGCGTGACGCTCAATGGCACCAAGCCAAGATTTTCGGACATCTTCTTTGGAGGGAGGGTCCTGTATCCCTGACGATTGCTCATCCGTCGCCCGTCACAAAATGTAGATTTAAATGCATTAAAAGTGCAAACAGAAGTGAAAAAGGACATTGGGAGGAGCGGGAGAGCAAAATTAAGGAGGAAATAGTCTTGGGAATCAAAATCTGAAAACTTTATTTTTTTATGGAGGGAAAAACCGGAGGACCCGGAGGAAAATCCACGCGACCACGGAGAGAGAGAAAGAACACGCAAACTCCAAATATACAACAGGCGTCAAGGGGTCAGGATCGAACCCACACCCTCCTGTATACTAGGCGAGGTAGTTAACATTTCCTAGCCACCGTGGGATCCTACAGGCAGTGTTTCAATCCGCCTACCCTGGCGTCGGCGTCGTACCTGTAGCCTGCCGATGGCCACGAGACAGAACTTGGTGCCCTGTCCAGCCTCCGCCTCCTCGTCCGGTATGGCCATCCCTGGCAGCGCGTGGGGGGGGGGGGGGGGGAAGGACGCAGCGTCAGTCAAAACGTTGCGCTACAGGAACCGCGTCGGTTAAAATCGAAGGTCGCCCGTGTAGCTGTACGGAATGTTGGGTCAAGTGCTGTTAGCGAGCACCTATTAAGGTCGGCTTGGACCATGTGGTGGGAGGGGGTGGGGGGGGTGGGGGGGGGGCGGGGCGGGGGGAGAAAAGTCGCGTGGCCAGCAACACGCCTGGCCGACCGTCTCCCCGGCACTGATGCTTACACATCAGTGCCGGGTACTCATGTAAGTCTCTGTCAAGCCATGGCAGCTCCAGGACTAGGATCAGATCATCTCCACTGATGTTACAGCCTGGTGCGCGAACCACAGCAACACCACTCCCCCCCCGCCCCCCCTCCAGTGATTTACAGACGCATGCACGTCAGGGAGTGCGGAACGAGGTACCGCGCAAAGCTCCGAGTAGAATCATTACTCGGAATCGCGACCGATCATTCTTAGCAAGGCGAGGGCGGTGGGAGAGGGGGGGGTGGTGGGGGGGGCAGGGCGATTAATTAACCCGAGCCCTAATCGATCGTTGCGCACAAGCCGCACGGACAATCTGACGCGAGATGCTGCGAGCACCACGGGCCGCTCAGCTCACCTGAAAAAGCCCCAAGGTTGGAGGCCACTGAGCTGCCTATGGGGAGCCAACCACACGGGGGGGGGGGGGGGGCCCACGGTCAACCAGGCAACGTCGTAAACTAATAATTGTTCTAATTTTTAGTACCGTGAGAAGCGATGCAGGTACAGTATTATCGGGTTACATCAACGGAGAAAAGACATTCCGACTGAAGAAGTTTCGTTTTTAGGCGGGGTTTTTTGAAGAAGGCATCCCTGGGTCGCAAATCGAGGGATGCCCGTACAGGCCATGTTTGTGTTCAAGGGCTGGGCGGGGTGGTTGGGCAGGGTGGCGGGGCGGGGTGACGGTGCCGGGTGACGGTGCCGGGTGACAGTGCCGGGTGACGGGGCGGGGTGACGGGGCGGGGTGACGGGGCGGGGTGACGGGAGGGGGTGACGCGGCGGGGTGCGCGGCGGAGTGACGGTGCCGGGTGCCGGTGCCGGGTGACGCGGTGCGGTGACGGTGCTCGGTGACGGTGCTCGGTGACGGGGCGGGGTGACGGGGGCGGGGTGACGGGGGCGGGGTGACGGGGCGGGGTGACGGGGGCGGGGTGACGGGGCGGGGTGACGGGGCGGGGTGACGGGGGCGGGGTGACGCGGCGGGGTGTTGTTGGGGAACGCACCGGCGGGTGGCCAGGCCTTGATGTATCCTGTGCAGTGCACCACGGCGTACTGCGGCTCCCCGTCCTTGACGGGGCCCAGACCGTTCCTGCGAGCAAGCACCGGCAACAGTTCAATGACGCGCGAAGGCCGATTTCGCTGTCAGTCTGAGCGAAAAAGAAACGCCGCCCACAAAAACAAGTTGGCGAGCGGGGAAAATCAACAGCTCGTATCGATAGCGAGAAAGAAGCGTGAGCACGTAACGGCAGCCGACGTGCGTTTGTCTTCGACAGGCGTTTCCCTCGAGGTACGGAGGCTGGCGGGGTAGCCCGTCAGGACGGTGGCGACACGGCCGAGCTGTGCTGCACAGGTTCGAACTGCACGTAGCAATTATATCACTCTCCTCCTAGCAGACTCGAGAGCGGTCTCTTGATTTCTCGCCCCGGTTAAACTAAGAAAGCAAAGGGTAAAATACGCACGTGCACATTGGCAAATGTTTTAGTCTTTTTTTTTAGTTTGCATCTTCAAATTTTTGGCCAACCTTTGACGTGAATTTGGCTGGCGTTCAAATCGGGGCGAGTTCTGAACACAGCAAAGCAACTTGAAACTTCAGCGTGGTTCACACTGGACCATCGCACAAGGGTCCACGTTATGGACAAACAGAGATCTGACACATGAATAATACTTTCTACTTCGGCTGGAAAGCATGAATAAAGTTTTTCTCTTTTCTATCTCTTAACCCTTTGGGCTTATGAGCTGTGAAGATGGGCCATTTCCCAAAACGTTGCCTCTGTATATATTGTGATTTTTTTTGAAGGCCACAGCGTTATTATTGATGTATTTTTGAGCGTTATAAACAAAATAGGGACTTCCTCTACTTACGATACATTAAACTTACGAACTTTCAGAGATACGAACAAAACTGTCCATATGTCGAATTGCCTGTTCGGACCGAGAGTCGTAAGTTCAACCGCCGCGCGATAGATGGCGGTGGTGGCATCTACATTTGCAGGATGTGAAGAAACAGTGGCATCTACATCTACAGGAGAGGATACAACTTTCAAAGCCATTCCCCGTGTTCAGTGTACATGCCGTACAACACGTTTGGAATCGACATTAGTAAAGTTGGACTTGCAAATAAATCTACTTACGAACAGGCCTCTGGAACCTAACTCGTTCGTAAGTAGGAGTCGTTGTACTATTTTACCAGCGGGGCCCACTAAGGTGTACAGCTCTTCTTCAGATGTGACCTGGCCACGAATGATAGCTTAACAAAAGTGGCTTATCACCACGTGCAAATGTATTGCAGCCATGTACTCAAAACGCACAATGACTCGACATGTGGACAGAGACACCGTAAACTCTAAATATATACAGCAGGTGTCAGGCTTGGGTTCGAAGCGTATACGACCTCGTGCATACCAAGCGAGGTAGTTAACATCTCCTAGCCACCGTGGCGCTACACGGTGGCTAGGAGATGTTATATTTACAACGGACGGCAACCGGCGCTACCGCTGGGCAGCGTCGTGGCTCACTGACCTGAAGCGTAGGTGGCTGAGCCGGTTCATGGAGAGGGGATCGACCGGAGTTGTGCCACACCTGCCACGACAAACCAAAAAAACAGCCGAGTGTTGAAAGCGTCTGTGCCACGAGTCTGCGAAAACCCGCGGCTCGTGAGCCGTATGTGGGGGGGGGGGGGGGGGGGGGAGGGAGGGGGGGATTCAAGCGCAGCTTCACAATGAGACGCAGCAGATCCCTTCACTACCTCTCCTCCAGTGGGCATTGATTCCTAAGAGCATTCATTATGGCATTTAGGCACTCCCCCGCACCCCGCCCTTTCCCCCTCCCCCCCTACCTGCCAGCTTTGTACTGGGCTCAAAGGATACTGGAAAATCGATGCTCTCTAAAATACGTGGCCAGTACGTAGAATGTACATCCTTTTTAGCAGTCTTTTGCTCAGTTTCTGTCGGCAATTGGGATCTTGTCGGTGTAACGCTTGTGCGATGTCTGTGTGTGTGTGTATATATATACAATATGCATGTGTTTACATGCCTATGTGCCCCTGGATATTTTTCATGTGGTTTTGTGATAATTGCACCATCTGTGCCCCCTAATTTAATACAGTAGGGGGCACAGATGGTGCATTTGCCAGTCATCTCAGTCAACCCATGGCACCTGGGTCTGTTCTGTCATCTGCCAGCGGGCGTTCGACACTTCACGTTGTCTTAACGTGCGCATAGCCTGGCACAAGCGTGGCGAATGGCGGTTGTTGTTGTGTCCCTGCGCATGTGTGTACGTGTCTATACCCATGTGCGAGCCAATGACGCACAGTGGCTGTTGTGTGGGGATCGGTAGTGCAGTGGTGGTACGAACACGGTGTCTCAAGTTCGATCCTCACTCACGACCAAAACAGTGGCGAATATTTGAACCGGTCCCGGGCCTCCCCGAGGTCGACTCGGCCTTAAACGAGTACCTGGTGCACTGTGCAGTAAACATCGCCACTGGGGAGAGACAAATGCGGCCTTGGCCGTGTGTGGTGCTGGCCGCGCCAGCCCCTCCCGCGCAATGCTGGCCTTCGCATGTGCTACTCGCTTAACGGCACTTGCCCCAACAGTCTGTTAAGGCTACACGGGCGAACCTTCGTCTTTGTAATGTTGCTGCCGCCAAGCCTCACCGCATGCGGCAGATGAAGGATCGCCGTGAGCCCATGCACATGCGCATGGACGACTGCTGCCCGTCCTTCTTCACGGTGCCCGTCTTCAGGTCCAGTATACGTCCTGAGCACCAGCAACACAGCACCACAGACGCATTCAACCCACCGTCCCCGCCACTAACGTACGAGACAACTCGGGTACGGTACAACGCAGCATAAAGTGGAAGGGTTGGACCTGTGTGCGTCTCCGTGTGTGTGTAGCTGGGAGTGCAGATGTACCGGCGTTGCTGTGTTTACCTCTCTAGCACATGACGAGGTCACACCGATTACACACAAAGTGCTCGCCAAGGAGCATAAATCATCACGCAAACTTTGGTCATCCTCGCAACAGCGGCTTTTGGTTAACCACCGAACAAAGATGGCCACTGCATTGCCCCCTTCCAGATGTGCTTCTGCGGCCGTCTGGAATGCTTTTTCCTTCCGAAATTAAGAAGCCACTGGAGCAATGCCACTTTGAAATCATCTCGATTGTCGAACTAATTTCTTTACAACTGTTTGTGTTTAGTTTGTTGTCCTTCCCCTGCGCCTCAGATTAGCACGGTTGGCTACGTATGGTGCGAAAGAAGTTCAACATACATACAAAGTGGGAGAGTTAGACCCGTGTGTGTAGCTGTGTGTGTAGCTGTGCAGCTGTATCTGCGTAAGTGTGTTTGCATAGCTGTGTATGTGTGGCTGTGTGTGTAGCTGTGTATCTATAAAGCTGTGTGTAGCTTTATGTGTATCTGTGTATAGCTGTAGATCTGTGTTGCTGTGAGAGTATAGCTGTCTGTTAGCGCTACGCTGCGCTACGAACCCGCCCACCCAAGTTCGATTCCCGTTCACGGCCAACACCGGTGACGATTATCTGAATCGGGCCTGGGCTTCCCCTAAATTGAGTCAGCCTCAAATGAGAACCTGGTGCGGTGTGTAGTAAACATCGCCACTGGGGACACAAAGGTGGCCAGGCGTGGTGCTGGTCACCCACCCCTTTGTGTGGCGTGCCAGCCTTCTAAGGTGCTCTCTCACAGCAGTGGCTCCAACAGTTTGTTCAGGCTGTATGGATGATCTTTGGTGTTGGTGACAGAGCTTATTGTGCTGGTGCCGATGGTGATTCATCGCCAGGGGGGGGGGGGGGGGCGACTCACACTGTGTGGGTCCCCCCGACGCCTTCAAAGGTCAGACGGGCGTGGTGCTGGCCACCTTACTTCCTTGTGTGCCGTGTCGGCCTTCATGGGTGCTAGTTGCTATCAGCACTTGCCCCAACAGTCTGTCAAGGCTGTCCGGGGGAATCTTTATATTGTGTACGTCTATCTGCGCGTTAGGGTGGCGCGCGTGCGTGTGTGCGTGCGTGCAGGTGTGCGTGCGTGCAGGTGTGCGTGTGCGTGCAGGCGTGCGTGCATGGATGTGCGTGCGTGTGGACGTGCGTGATTGTGTGCGTGTGGAGGTGTGTGCGTGGGTGCGGACGTTGCGTGCGTGTGCGCGTGCAGGTGTGCGTGCGTGCGTGCGTGCGTGCGTGCGTGCGCCGACCGGCCATGGCACTCTCCGAGGTGCTCAGCTGCTCGCGGAGCTTGTCCCCGTCGTCCGGGTGCACCAGCTCGTACAGCGTCCTGCCGAACCACTCGGACTGCGGCTGGTTGAGCACGGGCGTGAGCGAGTCGGAGACGTAGACCACGCGGCCCGTCTCGCACGCCGCCACAAACAGGAAGCCGTCGGCCGCCTCCAGAATCAGGTGCTTCAGCTCCTGGAAGGGGTGCGGCGGGGGGGGAGAGACCACGCACGCGCAGAGCTCGTTGGTGTGACGTGGGAGTGTGATCGACGGACAGCCGCGAAGCATACTCTTTGGTTCTATTGGGTAAAGTCACGTAGGTGAAAATAAAATAACAAAAAATCACGACGTTTCGGCCACAACACAAGCGGCCTTCATCAGGTGAAGGGACGAGGCTGTCTGGAGGCCGCTTGTGTTGTGGCCGAAACGTCGTGATTTTTTTGTTATTTTATTTTCACCTACGTGACTTTACCCAATAGAACCAAAGAGTATGGATCCTAGCAGTCACGAAAGCTTTAAATCTAGAGCCGCGAAGCAGTCGGTTCAAGTCATTAAGACGGCCGAGGCAACTGAGACAGTTAAGGCAATTAAGGGAGTTGAAAATCAGATACAAAAGGGGTGAAATTGCAGATGGGAGTGCAGTTAAGCCTGGAGAGGGGAGGGAGCGCCTGTGTTGTGAGAGCTCTATATGAAGTTACAGAAGTATACGAGTGAACGTTAACACGTTACCGATTGTTCCAATTGTAGAGCCGCTATAATTTGTATTAACTTGTGTTACCCATTTGGGTTCAAACATACACGATCGTGAGTTTTCTCTTACGGTTTATATCGTCAAATGTAGGCGACGTAACATTTGCCTTATCCAATTATCTTATCAAGATTTATATAGCAGCACCTAATTCCAAGGCGCTTTACAACAAATTATACAATTGTACGTAAGATGACGGTGGTTGAGATAATAAGGAGTGGGGTTGTTGTTGTTCTTGCAAGTAGCGGTGTGGTTATGGTCACAGTTAGGAGAACAGGCGGGAGAGGTTAAGGACAAGTTGGGGTAGTGATAGGGGATGGGGTAGTCATAGGGGTATAGGGTAGTGATGGAGGTATGGGGAGTAGTGATAAGGGTAGTGATAGAGGTTGGGGTAGTGATGGGGTAGTGATGGGGTAGTAATAGGGGATGGGGTAGTGATAGGGGTATAGGGTAATGATGGGGGTAGTGGATAAGGGTAGTCATCGAGGTTGGGGTAGTGATGGGGGTAGGGGTATGGCGCACACGCAGCCCTCTGGCACACCTGGTCCGTGAGGAAGGACGGTTTGTAGGCGCCCTCTGTGGGCGTGTTGCCCGTGCCGCGCAGCGACTTCATGTGCGACACGGCCATGCGTAGGATGGTCAGCTTGTCGGGCTTGCGCGCCAGTGCGCTGCACGTGGGTACCATGTCCGACAACTCCGTGATGTACGCCGTCATCTTGTTCCGCCGCCGCCGCTCGATCTCGCTGTGGTTCTCCCTGCGCACGGCAAGTAGGTTTTTGCCGACCATATCAGCGTGGAGGTTTTTTTTTTGGTTCAGCACGTGTGAAGATCATTTCGCAGCTTGCAGTCCGGTTCCGGCTCAGATTTCCACAAACGAACCAGAGGACACCCAAACTAGCTGTTTCGGGGCGAAGGATTTTCCTCAACAACTCAACTGCAGTAAGTTCCGCTATCACGCCGTGTGGATTTCGTAACGCGAATTTGACAACGCGATGAATGTATTCGGGAGCACATTTTTTTTAGAAGGCGGAATGCGAACTGGGCATAACGCGATCGAGTGAACAGAACTACGTCGCAGCGCGAGTAGGAATACGTGCTTTGTACGGCTGCCTCAGCGTAGCATCGCAAAAGGCATTTGGATGCTGCTGGATGCTTCTAGATGCTACCCCACACGCCTCAAGTCTTTGTTCAGCCTGCATACGCACCTTACGTGTAATCGCAGACTGTGTTTTACCCTATACAGGAGACTCTCAATTATCCGCGTGCGGTTTATCCGATTTGCGGATTAACCGCGCACCTTGAGATTTTGACATAATTTAGTAACTTGTGGATTTTCCCTTAAACCCAAATTAATAATCTAAAAACAGTTATACATTGTTATTCTTGGAAATGTTTATTACAAGTCGCGTGTTTAACATATATGTGCTTCGGTTAATCCGAAGTCCACATGATCGCCTCTGCAGGACAGTAGTTGCATATCTTTACAACGGTGGGCGGAGTTTGATTGATGTTGATTGGCGTGCCTCTGCTGTCATCCACTTAGCGGACAGGGTCTTCTGTGCGGGAGCAGGGAAGTGTTATCAGAGCACTGCATCGATCGGTCGACCGTTAGCATTCGCCCTAAATCCATAGAGTAACAATCGAAATCATCAGTTGTGCTTAATTTGGAGTGGTTTATCGGATCATTTATTTCGCGAGTTTTAAATTACACCTAAATTAGTGGTTTTTGGCGCAGAGATCCGCGGAATTTTTTTAAATATTTTCGGATGATCCGCGATTATGAATTATCCACGGCCATCCTCCCCGTCATTGGTCGCGGACAATCGAGAGCCTAATGTATGAAATGTTATTCATTATAACGCCATTTTTCCACAACGCGCTGTTCTTCGGACACGCAACTACCGTCACCTTAGCAGGAGAACAGAAACTGTACACTTCAGGACTTGTGCACGCAGCCAATGGCGGAGCCAGGATTTTCAGGTAGGGGGAGCAACCCCTCCAGCAATGGAAAATGATAGAGGAGTTGTTAGTAAGTAAAGAGTTGTTAGTAAGTAGGGACTTGTCCCTTGCTTGTTATTCGACGCGTGTGCGGCGATTGCGCAGCCATCGATCGAGGGGTCGAATTGGAACCGCGTGGTGCGATCGGCGTGGCGCACGCTGAAGGTGTCGATGCCTTCAGGGAAGTCGTGGACTGTAGACGCAACTGCGCACAATTCTGTGAGTCACTTAGAACTGCTTTGCCGTTACTTATTGCCAATTAGGGACTCGGACTATTGTCCTATCATCTCATAGAGTCCCTGGCACGTAATAATATGCTACACAGCGGCAGTGGGGGGGGGGAGGGGGTCGCAAAATGCCGATTTATTACTAATAAACCCCAATGATCCGATCGAAATTAGGGATTTCGATCGGATCATGAGTTTTCAATCGAGATGATGATTTAAAAGTCCATAGCCCCCAGTGGCTTCCTAATATCGGAAGGAAGAGCGTTTCGGCCGGCCGCAGAAGCGCGTCTGAAAGCGCAGCGCGATGCGGTGACCACCGCCTTTGTCCGAGCTAAAAGCCGCCGCCGCTGCTGCTGCGAGCATAACCGGAGTTGGCGTGACGGTTTCTGCCATCGCCCGAAAGGTCACTTATTATAAACATTGGCTTCTCCGGCCGCATGCACAGTGTTGCTGACGAACGTGCTGAGTTTCCTTTGTTATTTGTGCACTGCTGCCAATGGGGCAGCATCACCAAAACAATTTGTTTAAAAGGAGGAAGGCGGAATCTATAAGGAGGGGCTGGAAGGGGGGAAGTGGGGGGGGGGGTTATAGAAGCAGTGCAACAAGATAAGTTGACAGCTGAGCAAGGCAGGACACATTCAAGAGGCAAGAGGCTTTGGGGTGGGGGGGTCAACCCTCCATGAAGGGTTTGCACCAGAATCCTCTTGTCAAGACTGTCCGTGGAAATGCTATGCGAGTACAACAAAGGTTACAGAGCGCTGGCTCACTCACTCACTCACCCAAAGATTCCCCGTATAGCCTGTAAACAGACAGTCGGGGCAAGTGCTGTTAGCGAGCAGCACCTATGTGGGAGCGGTAGCATAACGCGGGGGCGGTAGTACAGCGGATTAGAGCGCTGCGTTACGAACCCGGCGAGAACCGGAGTTCGATTCCCGCTCACCGCCACCACCAGCGACGATTATCTGAACCGGTCATGCGCCTGCCCTAGGTTGACCTCAGCCTGGTGTGGTGTGTGAACATCACCAATGGGGAAACAAAGGCAGTCGAGCGTGGTGCTGACCCACCCACCCCCTCTCTCGTGCGCCGTGCAAGCCATCTTAGGTACTAACTCTCCCACCCACTCACCTACCCACAAGGTTGGAAGAGCTCACTGGGTGAGTGGGCTACATTAGCGTATTGCAATCTGCACAAGATGACCAAGGGGCACTGGGTAAGAAGGACTGGGACAATGGGCTTCGCTACAATCGCAGGGTGGCTCAAAACTCAGAGCTTCGAAGTCAGAATCCCACTGACGGATTACCGGGAGGGGAACAATACAAAAAAAATCGACTACCTGGCGTTCGCTAATAATTACGCACCTTGCCATCCTCTCCTTGTCGCCAGAATTCTGGTCATCCTCAGACCTGCGGCACAACCAATTAAATGTTTTTTTTTTAAATTAAACTACGAGAAAATCTCTCCCCTCTTCTGGTAGCATTGCGTTGCCCCCACCACGCGTGGTGTGCACCAAGGAATAAATGGTGCCGAATTGTGGCTGGCTAGGCAAGTGCTGGTTTCAGTAAATTAGCGGGCGCTTGATTGAGCGACGGTCGCGTCGTGGGCATGCTTAAGGGGATGTCACGGTTGAATCCGCTACACCTAACGCAAGGCCCTCCTTCCATCTCCATATATAAATATATTTTTTTAATTCAGCACGGATAAACACACACGGAGGATGACTTACCGCTCCTCACCGCTGGAAGATTTTACAAACCGTCACGCGATGCAGGGCATGACGATTTGGTCACGGGCCGTGTGCTTGTCCCCCCCCCCTCCCCAGGTCGGCGTAAACAGACACAAACCTCTCCATGTGCGAGGCCTCGATCCTAATCGGCGCTAGATAAACGCAATGCCGCTACTGTTGCTGCTGTTAGAGAGCGAATCGAGCAATACCACCACCGGACAACGGCAGTTGGGGGGAGCGGGGGAGGATGGAGTTTTCTGGAGGAAAAGGAGGACTTCACAGCAGACGGCTGGAAAAGAGCGGACAGCAAGAGAGAGAGAGAGAGAGGAAGCCTCGTCGGACTCTTGACGACAACGCACACCCTCACCTGGCATACTTGCTTGTGCCGGGGCCGTCGTCATCGTCGTCATCGTCAAACTCCGACCTGCGACAGATGGGGGGGGGGGGGGGGGGAAGAGGGGGGAGGGGCACAATGTCAAAAGCCGACCCCGATGACTGGAAACACTGCCGTCTATTGAGTCTACATTCAAAGTCAATAAACCAAAACTAAACGATTTAAATTTGACCGCCGCCGAGCTAACGTAAGCTCTTTTTCAGAAGCGCCCTGGCAACAAATGATAGCTCGACCAAGTGGTTTTATCACGTGTACGCATGCAGGTTGTGGCCGCTTACTTTGAACCATTAGCAAAGTGTAACGTGAAAATCCTCTGCCGTTGGTTTGTCGTGTGTGTGCGGGTGAATATAGATGTGTTCGTAGTCCGGTGTTATAACCTATTTCTGTCCTGCAACTTCTTTGTGTGACAGAAGCGGAGGGTGGCTGATGTCCTGGTTGCAATCATTGCGGAAGACGAGGCAATGCTGTGCAGCAATGGAAGTTAACTATAAACTATTTTTTTTATTTAAAACTATTTTTTATTTTATTTTACCAGGTAAGGGCCACACCGAGTTGTAGAGCTCTTCTTCAGAAGCGATCTGCCCACAAATGATAGTTCAACGAAGTGGACTATAATCACGTTGAAATTTATAGCAGCCAAATGCTCTAAATGGATGTTTCTAAATGTGGAGGGAAAAGCCGAAGGACCTGGCGAAAAATCTACCTGACCACAGGGAGACATGCAAACTCCAAATATACAGGCATTAAGGGTGGGATCGAACCCACAATTTCCTGTATACCATGAGAGGTAGTTAACATCTCACCACCGTGGCGCCCTTGTTATCCAGCGAATACGGTTAACGGGGGTGACAAAAAAGTTAAGAGATGATAGTACAGTTATTCCTTGTTGTACGTTATGATAAATTCGCAATGATTGAATTTGGAATTTAAATTTTTTTGGCGGGGGGAATAAAATCTAACAATGTACGGTCTGTAATTTGTCCTAGGGTGCATTTCACGACAGTTCCTAGTAAGTACCGTAGAGTATTTATATTTCGTGACATATTTAAAATGTTTGCCGCTTTCTTAAGTTTATTATTAATAAGTCTTGGAGAGGAAACGTTTTCCGTGGGAAAGCCTCTCCAATTTACCAAACGGAAGTCAATGCTAAACTAAGGGCTCGATCTAGACGGAACTTTTGCTTTGCGGGGCAAACTTTTCACGATCGTGACCCGTCACCGAATTTCAAAAAGGTGATGCCCGGTTAACGACGACGCGTCGAGACGACGGCATGGACGTGACGGCATGGACGTGACGGCACGGCGGTTGAATGTGCGGTGCGGTGCGGTGGTTTACCCGGTACGTTTCTTAGCGCCGAGGCCCGCCGGGGTGCCGGAGGCCGACTGCGGGAGTGCGAGGGCGTGGGGGTGGCCGCTCATGGGGCCCTGTCCTGGCAGGGACACGGCGCCCGCCGTTCCCGAGAGCAGGCTCCCTTCGGCCGGCATCTCACCCCCTGCAGCGAGACAAAAGATCCCGCCACCCCCCCCCCGTGTGAACTTTTTTCACGACTGACTTTTTGGGGCAAGTGCTTGTTAGGGGAAGCCTGGTAGGGGAGTGGTTCGGATAGTCGTCACCGGTGTTGGTGCGAGCAGCAATCAAAATAGGGGTCACCGGGTTCGTAGGATGGCAGACAAGACAAAGATCCCCTGTGTAGCCTGAACAGACTGCTGGGGCAAGTGCTGTTCGCGAGCACCTATGAAGGCCGGGATGGCACACGAGGGGGTGGGGTGGCCAACACCACGCCCAATTGCCTTTGTCTCCCCAGTGACGATGTTTAGACAACCGCACCAGGTACTCATTTGAGGCTGAATTGAGCATGGGAAGGCCCAGGACCGGTTGAGATAATCGTCAATGGTGTTGGCCGTGTGTGGGAATCGAACTCACATCGAGATCCAAAGACTCACATAGGGAACCTATACACTTACATAGACACCCATAGACTCGCAACGAAACCAACACTCTCAGAGACCAACAAACTCTGAGATCCATCCACTAACAGAGGTTCATAGCCTCACAGAGATCCACAACATATACAGTGAGGGAAAAAAGTATTTGATCCCCTGCTGATTTTGTATGTTTGCCCACTGACAAAGAAATGATCAGTCTATAATTTTAATGGTAGGTTTATTTGAACAGTGAGAGACAGAATAACAACAAAATCCAGAAAAACGCATGTCAAAAATGTTATAAATTGATTTGCATTTTAATGAGGGAAGTAAGTATTTGACCCCTTTGCAAAACATGACTTAGTACTTGGTGGCAAAACCCTGGTTGGCAATCACAGAGGTCAGACGTTTCTTGTAGTTGGCCACCAGGTTTGCACACATCTCAGGAGGGATTTTGTCCCACTGCTCTTTGCAGATCTTGCATGGAGCCCCAGGCCGAGGGAGATTGACAGTTCTTTTGCGTTTCTTCCATTTGCGAATAATCGCACCAACTGTTGTCACCTTCTCACCAAGCTGCTTGGCAATGGTCTTGTAGCCCATTCCAGCTTTGTGTAGGTCTACAATCTTGTCCCTGACATCCTTGGAGAGCTCTTTGGTCTTGGCCATGGTGGAGAGTTTGGAATCTTATTGATTGATTCTGTGGACAGGTGTCTTTTATACAGGTAACAAGCTGAGATTAGGAGCACTCCCTTTAAGAGAGTGCTCCTAATCTCAGCTCGTTACCTGTATAAAAGACACCTGGGAGCCAGAAATCTTTCTGATTGAGAGGGGGTCAAATACTCATTTCCCTCATTAAAATGCAAATCAATTTATAACATTTTTGACAGGCGTTTTTCTGGATTTTGTTGTTGTTATTCTGTCTCTCACTGTTCAAATAAACCTACCATTAAAATTATAGACTGATCATTTCTTTGTCAGTGGGCAAACGTACAAAATCAGCAAGGGATCAAATACTTTTTTCCCTCGCTGTATATTGAGTTGCGATTAAACTGGTTTCTCAAGTGATCTGCACACACAAAAAATACTGGTTCCGCGCCTAGTTCGGTTAAATTCCATCTCTAAAAAAAAGAATTGGGTTGATTGCCGTGCCCCAAACATTACGTACATGTGCCAACATTAGCTTTCATGGGACAGTGCTGTCCCCTATTGCGTGGACCAGAGGTCACTTGGAAGGGATCTCAAGAGGTAGTTCTGTGGTGTCCGCTTGTGGGGAACCATTGTCTATAACATGAAGGCTCACATGACTGTGTCTGAAATCCGAATGAATACCAACCCCTTTCCCATTCCGACGACGTACGTGTACATCATTGGAATGGAACCGGATGTAAAAAGTCATGTGGGAGAGCGTGTGGCACACTTTCGGTACCAGCTATCGTAGAGTTGCGGCGGTCGTGTCGCTACAGTTCTCTGCGGTGAATAACGTCTTAAAAAACAGTGGCGTTACTAAGCCTCTCTAAATCAAATTAATGCCGAGCCGCTTGCGCGCTCCGAGAATCGGCGGTGAACGGGAACACTCATCCACCCTGCAACTTGCAGACCGTCTCGGGAACGGGGGAAAGGGTTAAGTTTCGCATCACGCGACGCCACCGGCGCAAATTGGCAAACGATTGGGGGAAGAAACAATTCAGAAAAGGTGTCTTTCTGCTTGAGCCATTACATTGGAAGGAGGAAGAGGCAGCAACCCCAGTGAGGCTTAACCAGTTGACGGAACAAAACACACACACACACGGAAGTGAATCGTGTACACGGAATCGACAAATCAAGCCTGCAAACATGACTGGGAGGGTTTCAGGGTTCGGGTTACAGGACAAACAAGTTCGGGGGGCCTGTGTTTAGACAGAGCTATTATTCAGGTGTCTAGCTCGGGGGCATTCATCACTGGCACCGCACGAAGCTTGAGCTAGCAAGGTAACAGCCAGGCTTTGCCTTATCACAGCATTAATGCCTGGCCGCGTGTTAGAATTGTATCAAGGACAAGGTCGGGTCAAGTGGCAATCACAAACAATGCTGCAGACGCTACCACACCCATAAATTGCTTGTTTCCTTCTGCCACATCGCACAACTTTTGCACAGTCAATAACTAAACAATTTTTTTGTATTTTACTCGGTAAGGCCCCTAGAGCTATATAGCTCTTTTTCAGAAGCGACCTGGCCACAAATGATAGCTAAACGAAGTGGCTCATCTCCGGATGCATTAACAGCAGCCAAATACTCTAAATGCATGTCGATTCTGAATGTGGAGGTAAAAACCGGTGGACCCGAAGCAAAATCCACGCAAACACAGGGAGAACATGCAGACTCCAAATATACAGGCATCGTCAGGGTCGGCATCGAACGCACGACCTCCTGCATATCAGCCGAGGGAGTTAACATCTCCTAGGCACCGCAGCGGGGGAAGGACAACTGACACTGTGCGAGAAAGCACTTAATCCAACAATTGATTGGCAAAGGGCCGTTAATGACTTTCGTTCATTATAACCATATGAAGGATGCTCGTTATCAGTGCTTTGGAGGAACAACACAGTTGTAAACTCTCATACCCACTGGGGCTGTGAGGTGGCCAGCGGATGGAAGTACAGAAACTGTGTCTGTGAATCCGTGCGTGGAGACATTCCCTATACCTGTGTGCGTGCTCTCATTTGGGTATGCAGGCCCTTCCTGAAGGAAGGTCTTGAGGCCCAACGAGGCTCATCTAAGATGAATAAATAACTGAATTTCCTCCGAATAAACTGCAGACACACGAGGCTTCAAAAACGTGAGGAGGACTTGGCAACTGCGGAATTATGCAACGCACTGTAATCCGTTGCACAATCGGTTGCAACTTTGGCATGCATAACCGCCATCAATTACCCGGCACCGATGTTGAACGCGAGAAAATATTTTGCCCAGCTTATTTTCAGTACCATAAAAAAACTTCCTGCTTTCAGCAAGGCGCAATGCGAGTCGTTGCGATGCACTTCCTGGAGCCACACGTTGGCTTTTTTATGGTTCAGCACAATTGCTTTAAGGGGGGGGTTGGTGGCAAACTCTGCTGATGAGACTTGGTGGAAGCAAAAAAACATTCCTCTGTAGGTTGTCGCATTTCAAAATAAAATAAAATCAATCGCTCAAAAAAAAGATCTCAAACAGGCTGTTTTAATCATCTCCATCTGCGGCCCTTAGCCAGGAGTCGAAAATCCCCACATTGCCATGACGTGAGCGCGTTTCCAACAACACAGCCACTTTTGGGCTTCTCAAAAATGTGGTGCTCAGATATTAACCCCAAAAGGATGTTGACATCATCATCACGATCCGTGGGCAGATAGCCTGTACTGGTGTCCACTGCACTATTCATAATTTGGTTCCACTTTCCAATTGTTTTGTGCCAATATGGCTCAAGTAGTCGTGCCACATCTTTCTGGCACCAATCTCTAATGCCGTCAAGATGTTGACAGGATGAACTAAATCCAAACTAGTTGGGTAACTCCGATTAGGCACGGTTGGCTACATACGGTGCGAAAGAAGTTCAACGTACATACACACATTCATATGACGTATATATTAGACAATTTGAAGATGTGTGTAACCAATAGTATAACTATGAAGTGGCCTTTTTACTGGGGTGTAGTACACCAAACGAGTATGACTGTGATTCAGACAGAACTAATCAATCCACCTTCTTTGAGGACAGACAAACTCTCGTAATATGAAAGCGGCATCGGATGTACTCGGACTGACTTGCTTTTTCATCCCCGCTGGGATGGTGGTGGTGCGTTGTATGTATGTTGAACTACTTTCGCATAGTAACATATCCACGGTAACGTAGCCAACCGTGCCAATGGGAGGTGCGTTCAGTTTCGCACACCGCACGTGTGAAACCAGTCACTCATTCCCCGAAGCAAATCCATAGTTTCAACAACTGCAGACAATCACCTTCACCATGACGCCACGTACGTTATTTAAAGGGCGATGACATTTTTTTACTCTTCTTGAGGTTGCCCTATTTGCGGAACCTGCACAACGAGAGCCGTAATAATAATAATGATACCCATTTATCCAGGAAAGACTCAAAATGTCAAACGACGTTTTCTTTGTTAAACTCGTTACCTTCTCAATGGGGAAACATTCACCTGCAAGGGCGGGGGGGGGGGTGGTGAGAACATGTGGACGGAATACATTGTGTTCCCTCTGGCTCACGAATCAAACCCCGTCATCGTCCTGGAGTTTGTTTGAACCCAAAAATCAAGACCCATCTCTTCTCCGCCGCCTGTAGCTGTTCCTTCCTTCAACTAACCCCACCTGTTCAATTCTCACCATATCATGTTATTTACAAACGCACACAGGACATGTGCCCGCAAGCTGTAGTTTATTTATCTCATTCATGCATTCATTGTTCTTATTTAAACATCAGTGCAAGCACCTGCCATCTTTGCCTTTGTTTGGCAGAAATGTTAAAATAGAGCCGAGCGACGAGGCGATTTTCTTACTCCATGGAGCGATGGCTGGCGCTTGAGGCTCATGACGCTCGAGGCTCATGACGCTCGAGGCTCATGACGCTCGAGGCTCATGACGCTCGAGGCTCATGACGCTCGAGGCTCATGACGCTCGAGGCTCATGACGCTCGAGGCTCATGACGCTCGAGGCTCATGACGCTCGAGGCTCATGACGCTCGAGGCTCATGACGCTCGAGGCTCATGACGCTCGAGGCTCATGACGCTCGAGGCTCATGACGCTCGAGGCTCATGACGCTCGAGGCTCATGACGCTCGAGGCTCATGACGGAGCGGTGGCCAAAGGAGGGTACGCGTCCTCGAGAGGACGTCCATTACTCCCAAGCGTGCATCTATCGACGTTTGCTTTGCACTCTTTTCAACCTTCGTTTCAATTTCACTTCCAGCAACGGTCACGTTTTTTGTTGTTGTTTAAATCCATGCCATAAAATCGACGAGGCACACAGTGAAGCATCCATCCCATGCCTGTCCCTCGACATAACAAGTACAAGTATTTTTTCTTTAACACATTCCCATCAGCCACACGGGCTTTTTGGGAGTGCGCAATTTCAGTAGCATTGGTTTAACACAAGCAAATTCTGGACTGGTTTCAACATTCAGTTTATCATCAGCAGACTTTTGGCTTGCTTGAACCAATGCTGGTGAACTGTCAGATGTTCACAGGTGAAAACGCTTAGCGCACTGTGGTTTGCATTTTCTTCACAATATATTTGATGACATTCACCCTCGCTATGTCCTATGCCTTAGATACGGCTCCAAGTTTGACCCAAAACTAATTGCACCATAAAATGAAGCAATAACTCGTGTGGTTGAAAACATCTGACTATATAGAGGACTGCAGAGCTTTCAACGGAAGGCGTGTTTCGTGCCAGCCGCCTACCAGCTTGTCTGGTTCCTCAGCGACGGCAAGACGCAACGTGCCGGAACGCCGCTATACGATACGCAACACGATTAATATTACATATGTAACATTCGCATGCAATATGCATGGACGTTAAACAATCTGCTCTTGCACGCGTGATGTTATGCGTGCGTCGCGAGCACAGGAATCTTATTTCATTGGCGAATGCCTTACATAGCCTGCGAGCTGATGTTATACTTAACCGACAGAGGACGCAGCGAGGTTGAAACTCATTCAACAGCTCATTAAAGAAACACAAGCCACATATTGCACTGCACCATAACTTCTAAAACCCCGACGGAGCCTATTAAAAACAGCCGACGTGACGCATAAAAAGGCACGATGCGTGCATATATACAAAGCGCGGACGTGGATAATAATGCCATCAGCCACCGACAACCAACTACTTGGACAGGACGAACGGCGGCGGGTGCAAGAGGCAGGGACATCACCTTTAATCAGCCTTTATCTACACAGACACCCTTTGCCGTTGGAGCAACAAAGGTAGACCATGCAACTCGATAACATGCTCAAGACTGCCATTGTTTGGCAATGCTGTGTTGTTCAGAGCGGTGCACAAAGCACAAATGCTGCAACAACAACAAAAACACACAAACAACCCTTGTCAAAAAACACACACGTGGCCTTAACAAGAACAAGTGTGTCTAATAGGCAACGTTTCGGGCAACAGACCTTTTTCACAGCGCACGCAGACAGAGAGAGGCCAGCGATGAAGAGTGGCCTAAATGTGCCGTGAAAGGCCATTGCCTAAAACGCTGCCTATTACGAGGGCAGTCCCCCGACTTACGGACGCGTTGCGTTCCTGGGGGCCAGTTTTGTAAGTCGAGCGGTTCTCTAAGTAGAGACGCAACAATGTATTTAAATGCACATCCGCTCGTCGGTGTTATGAAAGGGCGTTACGGCTCAACGAAAACAAAAAAGAAACAACTTGTTAAACTCACAAACAAGGAGAAATGTTGCACATTTGCATGCAACACTCGAAATGGTTCCGCGGTTCGGTTCGCAAGTGCGAGCTCACGTTCGCAAGTTGGAGGGGTCAAAAGTGAAAACGCACGTGTGTTATGGTTGCTCGCGTTCGTAGGTGCGGATGTTCGTAAGTCGGGCATTCGCAAGGTCGGGGACTACGGCAGTGTTAACGACGATTGTGCCGAGTGTTAGTATTTATTTAACACTGCAAGTGGTTGTATCATCATCATCATCATTAACCATTTATTTGGCGGCGGAGCAGTGTGGCACAGTGGGTTAAGCAGCGCACTGCGCTAAGAGTCGGAATTCAGGAGGAGACCCAACTTCAGGAGGAGACCCGACTTCAGGAGGAGACCCGACTTCAGGAGGAGACCCGACTTCAGGAGGAGACCCGACTTCAGGAGGAGACCCGACTTCAGGAGGAGACCAGACTTCAGGAGGAGACCAGACTTCAGGAGGAGACCAGACTTCAGGAGGAGACCAGACTTCAGGAGGAGACCAGACTTCAGGAGGAGACCAGACTTCAGGAGGAGACCAGACTTCAGGAGGAGACCAGACTTCAGGAGGAGACCAGACTTCAGGAGGAGACCAGACTTCAGGAGGAGACCAGACTTCAGGAGGAGACCAGACTTCCGACTCCCGGTGTGTGGCGGTGTGACACCTGAATGGGTGCTGGGTCTCAATAGCCCTTCGTCAAAAACCGCACTGGCCAGCCTGACTTGGTATGGTCGTTCATAGGCGCTAATAGACATTGATTTAAAACAACGTTCTTCCTCGGGCACACGACTACATTGCATTTCAATATCGTTTTTTTACAATAATGAACTTCCACCAGCCTGCTCTTACCCACCCCTTCCTTTATCAAATCACTTTGATCCTGGTGTGCCTTCAATAACAGCTCTAGACACTGTTCATATTCTTCATTTGTTTCCGCAATCGTGTGCCTCCAACATTTGTCAAGTTGTTGAGCGAGCTTGCTAATGTGCATGTCTTTTGCTTTGTGTGCTTCATGATCCCTACGTTGTTTTACATTGTGCGAATCAAAAAAATGAAACATCCTGTTCTGCCAAGGAACTGGAACAGCCCTCGCCTCCATGACTTGTCAACTCCACATTCCTATGGCACGACTCGGTAACGTAACGATTACACCCGCAATGAGAATAGCAGTGTGCGAGTTGAGCTCTCCGTCACAAAGAGCACATTTAGCCGATGTCGCGTAAACACGTGTCATTAAACCCGCCACCACCCGACACAGCCAATGAGCAAGGTGTTGTCACGTAAACAAAACGTGCCAATTCGTTACTAGTTCAGCACAGCACACGTTGTTGTGTGTTGGAGAGTCAAACGCCAACTACAACGTTTACAATTCGGTAATTACAACGACAGCAGCAGCCAGCGTCATCAGGCGAAAGCCAGAGCGTTGTGGAGAAACCCTCCCTCCTGCATCGGTCTTCAACAGCGCGGGTGGGGTTAAACGTGGAGCTTGTGAGACAATCAGGTACCAACAATCGGCTGTGTCGGGTGGTGGCGGATTTAACGACAACATTTAATATTTACGCGGCCTAACCCAAGACACCCTCTCTCCACTGTGGATAATAATCGGTCGCGAAAGTCCTACTTTACGACTACGCGTTGAACCGATTGACCGAGCATTGTCGTAAATTCCACATTCCCATGGCGGGGCCGACCCAACCTGTATTACACGACCGCTGTTGACGATAACTGCGCCTGCCTTAGACCAAATCGCCCGGAATCAGCCCCACCGAGCGAGATCTCGAGTCTGGTATCTGCTCGGACTGCAAGACTACGCGCAACAACAACAAAACATCTATTGTTGTACCGTAACTTACATGTCCCCACGTGTGTGTGTGTGTACACATGTGCTCGGCGCCTTCACCATCCCTCACTGACCGGCGTGGTGAAGTATGGTCAAACAATGTCACCACGACACGTCCCCTTCCTCGACGCGGTGTATGGGTGAGGGAGGCGCTCATCCAGCAGTGGATAAATAAAACCCACGGCCGGGCTTGAACACACGACAGCGCCGTACGGATGGGTGTGGGCAGGGGAGTGACACGGCGATTGTTGAGTTTGTAACGCGTCGCCAACACCAACTTACACCACCCCCTACCACCGTGACCACCACCACCGACTGCCCAAGGGGGCAAAACAACAACAACAAAAGTTCCCAAACAACAACAACAACGACGATCGATGAGCGAACTAAAGTTTAAAACAAACTCAACAACTCCACACGCACTGGTGCGGTCAAATATGGTCGACAGACGCCACGGCACACCCCCCTCTCTCGGCTCACCACAACAACAACCAACAACAACAACACAGCGACGATTATGATAGTGGTGGTGGGGAGTAAAGCAAAGCATCAGCACTAGAGGGGGGGGGGGGGAGAGACAAAGGCGGCCGGGCCCGGGCGTGGTTCCGTACCATCCCCCCCCACTAAACCTAGGGACTCAAAAACCCCGCGAAACCTCGACACGCAAAGCAAAGCAAGTCGCCGCAGCTTCACCTGCGCCCTGGGCTTGCTGCTGCTGCTGTTGTTGTTGTTGTGGCGGCGGCCTGGCGTTCATGTCGCGACCGCTTCCAGGGCCGGGGCCGAGAGCATCCGTCTCTGAACGTCGTCGACTGTCGAAGGGAGGCCGATGATGATGAGGATGATGAGGAGGAGTAGGGGTGTGTTTGTGTGTGTGTGTGCGCTCTTAGTAAAACACGACGACGACGACGGTGGTGGTATAAAGAGAGGTTGATTGATGGAAGAGAGAGATTTTAAAGTCAGCCGTGGGCCTTCGTGAGGGATCACAAATCCTACAGCGGCGCCCCCTCCCCTCCCATCCCCCCTACAAAATGGAGGCCGCGGCGAGGGACCGCGGCCTCGCGATTGAGCGGGCGCGAGCCGAGGGGCCGCGGCGATTTGCGAAAATTTTTTGTTTACTGCTGCTGTTGGGTTTTTGTGTTTCCGTTGAGGACTTCACCACCTGCGGGAGCCCCCTCCCCTACGGGGACCCCCCTCCCTTGCGACTCCCCCCTCCCTTGCGACTTCAGTTGTAGCGAATATTTTCATGGAAATTTTTTTGAGACGGACACCATCCAGGCATCCACTCTGCGCCCTTCCTTGTGGAAGAGGTTCGTCAACCAATTCCTCGAACACATCAATTCCATACACCCAGCCATCAAATTCACCATGGAGGTAGAAAAGGATGGCATGCTACCTTTCTTGGATGTCCTAATCAAAAAGAGACCAGATGGTTCAATGAGCCATTCTGTCTATAGGAAAGTAACCCCATACTGACGCATACCTAAAACCTGATTCCCACCACCACCACCCATCCCAGTGGAATTCCATCATCAAAACGCGACACCATAGAGCTCAATGTATGTCCGACCATGAACACCTAACCAGTGAACTCAAACACTACACCAAGCTCTCAAGGCGAATGGATATTCTGACTGCACAATCCGCAAAGCCATCACCCCAACCGTTAGGAAGGAGTGATCTGCGGATCCAATCAAAACCATCGCCTTGCCATAGCAGGGGTAATCAAAAATAATTCCTAAATCATGAACAAACACAAGATCCAGGTCCGATTTAAGACAATACATAAAATTCGTGATCTGATCCCATCTGTGAAGGACAAGATTCCTGACATGTAATATCCCGGCGTCTACAAACTAAGCTGTATCTGCGGCAGCAGTTACATTGGGGAAGCTAAGCGGTATGTCTCGGACCGAGTTCGTGAGCATAAGGCAGATTTGAAACACGGCAGGACCAATACTTCTGCCGTGGCCGATCATTATTTTAATGCGGCTGGCTCACACGAAATTGTATTTCTCTAAGACGATGGTACTTTGCAAGCCTCCTGGCTATCAATAAAGATTCGTTCATGAAGCCATCCATATTTACAGACACAGACACAATTTCAACCGAGAGGATGGTTATAAGCCCAGCAATCATTGGAAAGATGTCATCAACCACTTTGGGTCATGAATTGACTTGTGTTTTCTTGTCAACCTCAGCAGTGTGGGTGTGTGGAGCGAGGTGCAATGATTGCCTGGCGGCCCTTTGATTAGTGTAGATTCGCTGTATGTAGTTTATGTAGTTTATTGTAAAAATTCGGTCACAGTCCCTGTGATCACTGTTACGTTGCAATTATGGCTTTATTTTTTTGGTGATTTCGAAAACGTTTTTTGGTTTGGACATGTTTGTTTTTTTGTAGTACGGAGTTAGACTGATGGCCTTAATCTAAGTTTTCTTGTGGTTGTTGTTGTTGCTTGACTTGCATCCCACTGGGATTTTTTGCACACAGCGTTGGTGTACGGTGCTTTTTTCAGGAATATTTTGCTGTTTTTTTCATGGATTTTCTGTTTGCACAGTCACGTAGTCACTTTAAGATGTTTTTATTGTTCGTGTTTTTGTTTTTTTGCTTGTTGTGGTTGCACCCGATACAAAAGCCGAATGGCTCACAGGGTTATACCAAAATAAATAAACTGAAATTGAAAACTGAAAAAACGGGCGCGACCTGGCCACAAATGATAGCTCAAAAATGTGCCTTATCACGTGGAAATGTACAGCAGCAGCCAAACACTCCAAACGCATCATTCTAAATGTGGAGGGGAAAGTCGGAGGGAAAAAAATAATCCACACGACCACGGGGAGAGAGAACGTGCAAAGTCCAAATATGCAGGATTTGACCCTACGACCTCCTGCATACCAGGCGAGGTAGCTAACATCTCTCAACTGCGACACGCACACACACAGATGAAGCCAGGTCCCATCAATACACTCACCAATCAAAGCGAAAACGAAAAAAAAAACATTCTCCCGCGATCAATTTAATTATTTCTTAATTTATTATTCCTGGACACGACCTATTTTTCGCAAGTGTTAACTTTAACTACGATGCCACTTCATTATGCGTCCAGTGGTCAGAGTAATGAATGGCCGTCGAGTTTGATTTAAAGGAGACCTCCCCCACCCCTGAATTCCATCCTCTCATTGCAATTGAGAGCAAATTGATTTTGAGAATGAAGCCGTATCGGCGTGTGCCTTGATTGAAAAACTGCTGCTGGCGATTGCAAAGGGGACCTTTTTTGTGTATTTTGTGTGTGTGTGTATGTGTGGCCGAAGCTTCGTCTTATCTCTTAAATCATTTATAAAGCGCCTTATCGAAGGCGCCTTACACGGAATTAACAATGGTGCGACGGGTGTATTGAGTGTGATGGTGGAGATGAGGCGAATTGAACAGATGATGAGAAGAAGCAATGGGGTGCGATGCGTGAATTCGGTGAAAGCGAAATTGATGTCAGTAAATGATGACGGATGGATTGAATGAATGGGGTGAATGAGTGATAGTCACATGATGATAATAATTATTATTCTAACATTAAATGATAATGAATGGATGGATTGAATGAATGGGGTGAATGAGTGATAGCCATATGATGATAATTATTATTATTCTAACATTAAATGATGATGAATGGATTTCATGAATGGGGTGAATGAGTGATGGCCATATGCTAATAATAATTATTCTAACATTAAATAATGACGGATGGATTGAATGAATTGGGTGAATGAGTGATGGCCATTTGATGATACTAATTATTATTCTAACATTAAATGATGACGGATGGATTGAATGAATGGGGTGAATGAGTGATAGCCGTTTAATGAGAATATGAAGAGGGAACAATAACGGTGGCAGTGATTACGAGGGAGAGATTAAGGGGTCGTGGGGTGAGCTAGGAGTAACAATAAGTGAGTTTTGAGTTAGGAGCGGAAACTTAGTGAGCGGATGTGACCGCTTAATGTGGAGGGGGGGGGGGGGGAGAGACATCGTGGATTGAGCATCAGGAGGAGAGAGAACAGAGAGAGAGACGACGTGGATTGAGCATCAGGAGGAGAGGGAACAGAGAGAGAGACAACGTGGATTGAGCATCAGGAGGAGAGGGAACAGAGAGAGAGACAACGTGGATTGAGCATCAGGAGGAGAGGGAACAGAGAGAGAGACATCGTGGATTGAGCATCAGGAGGAGAGGGAACAGAGAGAGAGACATCGTGGATTGAGCACCAGGAGGAGAGGGAGCAGAGGGAGAGACATCGTGGATTGAGCACCAGGAGGAGAGGGAACAGAGAGAGAGAGAGACATCGTGGATTGAGCACCAGGAGGAGAGGGAGCAGAGGGAGAGACATCGTGGATTGAGCATCAGGAGGAGATGGAACAGAGAGAGACATCGTGGATTGAGCACCAGGAGGAGAGGGAGCAGAGGGAGAGACAACGTGGATTGAGCACCAGGAGGAGAGGGAACAGAGAGAGAGACATCGTGGATTGAGCACCAGGAGGAGAGGGAGCAGAGAGAGAGAAAAAGAGACATCGTGGATTGAGCATCAGGAGGAGAGAGAACAGAGAGAGAGACATCGTGGATTGAGCACCAGGAGGAGAGGGAACAGAGGGAGAGACATCGTGGATTGAGCACCAGGAGGGGAAGGAACAGAGGGAGAGACATCGAGGAGTGAGCACCAGGAGGAGAGGGAGCAGAGGGAGACATCGTGGATTGAGCACCAGGAGGAGAGGGAGCAGAGAGAGAGACAACGTGGATTGAGCACTAGGAGGAGAGGAAACAGAGGTAGGAACATCGTGGATTGAGCACCAGGAGGAGAGGGAACAGAAATAGAGACAACGTGAATTGAGCATCAGGAGGAGAGGGAACAGAGGGAGAGACATCGTGGATTGAGCACCAGGAGGAGAAGGAACAGAGGGAGAGACATCGAGGAGTGAGCACCAGGAGGAGAGGGAGCAGAGGGAGACATCGTGGATTGAGCACCAGGAGGAGAGGGAGCAGAGAGAGAGACATCGTGGATTGAGCATCAGGAGGAGAGAGAACAGAGAGAGAGACATCGTGGATTGAGCACCAGGAGGAGAGGGAACAGAGGGAGAGACATCGTGGATTGAGCACCAGGAGGAGAAGGAACAGAGGGAGAGACATCGAGGAGTGAGCACCAGGAGGAGAGGGAGCAGAGGGAGACATCGTGGATTGAGCACCAGGAGGAGAGGGAGCAGAGAGAGAGACAACGTGGATTGAGCACTAGGAGGAGAGGAAACAGAGGTAGGAACATCGTGGATTGAGCACCAGGAGGAGAGGGAACAGAATAGAGACAACGTGAATTGAGCATCAGGAGGAGAGGGAACAGAGGGAGACATCGTGGATTGAGCATCAGGAGGAGAGGGAGCAGAGGGAGAGACAACGTGGATTGAGCACCAGGAGGAAAGGGAACAGAGGGAGGGACAACGTGGATTGAGCATCAGGAGGAAAGGGAACAGAGGGAGAGAGAGCAAAGATTGAGAAAGGTAGAGGGCGAGAAGGCGACGTACAAAGATACAAGCGTGGCAAGATACGGTGGGGCGAGACCATGAAGGGATTTGTAGACCAGGGGTGTTCACAACATCAGACATTACGACTTGCAGTAAGTAGAACTTGTTGTGCATCGTCACGGAGCGGGCGCAACGACTTAATCCAAACTAAACTTTTAAAAACTATTTTTTTTATTTACCAGATAAGGCACCAGTGAGCTACGGAGCTGTTTTTCAGAAGCGACCTGGCCATCACCAATTATAGCTCAACGACGGTGAGCTTATCAGGTGAAAGTGTACGGCAGCCGAGCCTTCGAAACGCGTGATCGTTGTCTGTTAATGTGGAGGGGGGAAGAAACGCGACCATGGGGATAGAGACACGCAAACTGCAAAATATGCAGCTTAACACGTAGGCTTTCGAGACCAATATCATCCATAATACAGGTTTTGTTGGGGGTTAGATCGCGTATATATATAAATGTGTCGTTAAACCCTGGCTGTGGCCTGAT